AATACAGGGACCTAAGATCTCTCCCAATCATAGAGAGAGCTCAAAATTTCCAAAGTCCCGTAATTAAGTACCAGGCTTAGAAATATGTCCTAAATTTCCTAATTAGGTATTAATAATAGAAGTAGGAAATGAACCTATAGACTTAATATTTTCTGCCCTAATTTTAATAAATAGGTAATGAACCCATAGATTCAATATCTTCTGCCTTAATTTCTACATGTTGACATAGGCTTAATAACATAGATACCTATATCTATAAATATATATGGATATTTACCACAACTTTACTATTATGTAATTATTTATTTTTACAAAGTTCAATTCACTTCTCTAACCAAGTCAAAAAAACTAACATGCTGTTAAATTATAGTTCAACTTTGGAACACTTGCTTAACTTTGGAACACTTGCTTAAAAATTAAGGCTTTTATGATATCTAAAATCATTACAGGGAGAAAAATAATCGTTTTATCTCCTGTTAAGTGCTAAATTGTGTCCCTCTAAAATTCACACCTTGAAGTCCTAACCTCCAGTAGCTCAAAATATATTTAGAAATAGAGCCTTTAAAGAGGTTAAGTTAAATGAGGTCCTTAGGGTGGATTATAGTGCAATTTGACTGATGTCCTTATGAAAATAGATTAGGACACAGGCACAAGGGGAAGACGCCCATCTACAAGCCAAGGAGAGAGATCACAGAAGAAATCAACCCTGCTGATGCTTTGAGCTGAGACTTCTTAGCCTCCAGAACTGTGAGGAAAGAAATTTCTGTTATTTAAGCTCCCCAGTCTGTGGCACTTAGTTATGGCAGCCCTAGCAAACTAATACATCCCTCCTCTTCAAATACACTTTTGTCATAGAAGTTTATGTTGTCTAATGCCAGTTTCAGTTTTATGGGAAACTGCCTGAAGGTCTTTTGGCAAAGCTTCCTTCCACACAGATTATACAAATAAGGTGTCAACTTCTGAATTATGGAATATTTTTAAAACATAAGAAATTACCATCTTCTCACTTCTTAAAAGACTTTTATTTGAATACTAACGTGCATAGATTTTCATTTGGAAATTTTCTATTTTCTTGCCTTATGTAAAAAATTTGTCATTGAAAGTTTAACACAGCTGTATGCATTTTTTAAAGAAATATTACCAAGATGTCGTACTCTAAATACAATGCTTTGAATTTTGAAAATAGTTTGCTTGGCACAAAATTCTAATATGTAATAAAAAAAACCACTCTTTTGGATCCCAAACTTTATAAAATGACTGTTCTTTATTCAATATCTATATAATTAACATAGAATTTAGCTCTTCATTAAAATTATATCATAAACATGACAAAATCATAATTCTTTAAGTAAATTTAGGTAACCTAAAAATATTGAGGTATATAAAAAATACAATAGAAAAGGGAGGCTAAGAAGATTTCATATTTTTATACCATAAAATGTTTTATCTGATTAATGAAAAAGGCAAATATAATAACAGATGTATTCAATATATAGTTTTAGAATTTTAAAACTAATGGGAAAAAAGTAATAGGAATAATACAGTTTTACTTTTGGGTTTTGGGGTTTGTTTGTTTAGCCTTAAAGAATAATATTGTTGAGTATCTCATAAGGCCAATTACATGGCAATTGTCCCACAGGGACTTTATTGTTTAAAGAAATACAAATTCTCTGTCGTCTTGGCTGGTGACCTTCAGAGGAATGCAGATAAAGTTCTTAAACCAACCATCTCTTTCACTGTAAATAAAATCAAATACCAATTTGGATTTAATGCTCAAACATCCAGGAATTTTGTTTATGAAGTAACTTCCAAAACTGGAGAGTAAAGTTCTTTAAAGTGCAACCTTAAAAAAATATTTACAGATAACATGGGTTTATTATTAGGCAACATTAGAGAAACAAAATATGATGAAGAAAATGTGCCTTATGGGGAAAAAAAGTGACACTATAAACAGTATTTATGATATTTGAAGATGCTCAGGCCCCATGCAAGAGTTGGCCACAGCAATCCAAAACATTTAAAAATAGCCTCCAAATGCTAATATTCAAAAGGTAAGGAAGGGAAGGGAAGGGAAAAAAAACAATAAAAAGCAAAAACCTGGCCCTTAGGCATGAATCCTTAAGCATTACAGAAAGATTAATTCTATACCTATACTAACTTCTTTAGAGAGTACAACTCCAACCAGCTTTCTAGAAACTAACAATTTATAGTATAATGATTGAGAACATGGACTCCGGGGCTAGTCCTCCCGGGGTCAATTCCTGGCTATGCCATGTGCTAGCTGTGTGACTTTGGACAAGTCACTCAGTCTTTCTGTGTCCCAGTTTGCCCCCTCAAATGCAAATCATAACAGAATCATCTCAGTGGGTGGCTGTATTAAATGAGTTTCTCTATGTAAAACCTTAGCACACAGTGCCTGAAATATGGTAAGTGTCATAATTATTGGTAGCAAGGGTGGGATGGAACAATTCAAAAGCTAATCACAATCAGAGCACAAAGCACACTACCAACGTCTGATGAGGCTAGAGTGAACAAAACAATGAAAATTCCAACCAGGTGACATCTACACACATTCGAGAATTTTATATACATATAATTTTCCCCATCAGCCTTACTGTTCAGAAACTCACATTCCCACTGATCTGAGCCGGTTATACACACACACACACACACACACACACACACACCCACCCCATACTGGACCAGGCAAAAGAGCAAAGCATTCTTTAAGGCGTTCCAGCTGACCTTATGGCCTAATAATGAAATAATCAGCACGGCCTTAATGAAATCATGGTGAAATAAACGTCCAGCTAAAATAGCATCCCAGAACATCACAGGCAAATTATGTTAGCCAGAACACTGTGGACTACAGGCATCCTCAGCAGTGGTCACTGATGATCACTCACCCAAAGATTCAGCAGCAAAAAGTGCAAGGAGGGACAACACTGCACTGTTCGTGGTTCTGGCACATTGACTGTGTGGAGCCTGCTTCATCCAGCCCAGGCCCCTCAGTCACTGACCCCCAAGAGCAGGCATGGCCTAGCAAAGATCGCCACCAGCAGCTGATCTTGTGCAAGGGTAAGAGCTATGAAAGCTCTGGAGTGGTTGGAACAATTTTATCTGGCCCTGACCGCCCTCTGAGAAATATATCCGATTTTCATCCCACTTCCCTATCACCTCCTCTTCCCTTTTTTTTCTCTCCCCCAGAAATTGCTTATCATGCTTAAGTAAACACACACAGTTTTCTGACTAGTTGCAAAACTCCAGTGGTTAACAGTGCACACAGCATTTCTGATCTAATCCCTGCTTATGCACACCAGGATGTTCCTGAGAGATTTAGGCCACAGTTGATTTTCCTCGCTCCTGTCAATGTCCTGAGTGTCCTTGGCCTACTCTGGACATACAATTTCCTAAGCGTAAGTACATTTTCTCAGCATTTCCCTCGGCTATATCTAATTCCTTACATGTGGATAGGCTGGTTTTATATATAATCACTGTTTATTTCCTTAGTACATTTTCTATCTACTGCAAGTACGCTGCCAAATGCCTAAAAGCTTTCTACTTTGAAGCACAAGTCAGTAGAAAAAGATGGGAGACACACAAATGGTAAAAGAGGAATACTTCTTTCAAACAAAAGCTGAATGTGGTTTAACTCAAACTGAGTCTTTCAATTATCCAAAGCCAGCATGCAAAACCACACTGACAAAAACACATAAAGCACTGCAAATAGCAAGCAACATGTGTCTAGAAAAAGCATTCTGCAGTATGGTCTCCACAGCACTGACGTTGCAAGATAACATATTACAAGGGACACATTTTCTAAATTTTTTCTTGCCTTTTATTTATTTATTTTTGTCCAAACTATTTCAATGTAATTTTTTCTTTATTTAAAGAACATGTGAAATGATACTTTAAAGAACTATTTCTTCTCTCCTATTTTGCTGACAAGAAATAAGAAGGTTACCAGGGTGACTAAGTGATGTAAAGAATTAGCCACTACTAAGAATCAACATCTTTTGGATTAGTCATAAATCAACTCGCAGGCAGAGTCAGAATTATTACTCTCGAATTGGGAGAAGTTGAATACCTTCAAAACTTTTTGTTGCTGAAAAATTATCCTCCCAACTGACAAACTAAGAACATACATTAAACATGGAAACAAATCTGTGTCCAGTTCTGAAGACCTCTGTACTACTGCTTGTTTTATGTTCCTGAAACATTTTGCTGTCGGTGATTTATCTCACGTCCATGTGGCCAGCCATTTGTTTATTCTATTGCATACCATCTGTTTTTCAGTAGAGAGGTTTCAAGTTCTTCTCATTCCCTACCTCATATCCCACAGAAAACCATTTATAATAGATATAGATTTAAATTGCTTGGATTCATGTGGAGTTGGTAACGTGAGCTGCCTTTCATTTATATTTGGCAAATGCTTTAATGGGATTAGCAAATTGCGTTATTACGAGGTACTTATAGAAAGACACCACCTTTTTTTTTTCCAACAATGACAAATGATGTTAACAGTTTCATTTTGGCTGTTTAATAGCAGTACAAAAGATTTTACTAACGTTACAGGAAATTCTCCTGATAGACAATAAAGTCCTACCACAAACCCTGTCCGTATTTTTTATTTCTGAGAGTCAACGGGTATGTGTATCAGGATGTGGCAGGGTTTATATAATGGGGAATAAATATCAAGTTGCTAATATTTTTAAGGGGATGTTATCATTTAACCTACAGACCAGAAAACTCTGTCTGGTTCTTACACATTCATGGTATTCCCTAAGCCCTACAACCATGGTCTTGCTTGTCTCATGCTCACAAGTGAAGGCAGTCCCCAGACTTCCCCAAAGAACAGTTAATGCCACAAAATCCAGCTCTTCAGACCAATTTATTCCCATTCTATGGCTCACTTTGATTTGTTCTATAGAAGAGCCAATCATTCAGAGAGACGACTTTCTGCTGAAACTATACAGATATGTTTGAAGAGTGTTAATTACCATTTTTACAAGAATCCTTGCTGCTTTCGTAGAGAGGAGGTATCTGATGACAGGACCCAGTGGCTGTCCACAGTTCATGGTTGACATCTGAGAGCTGGGAAACGTCCATCTTGAGGTCTACTTGATTTTCACTAGTCCTTACCAGATCAGAGTTGGACATATTTGGGGGAGCAGTGGCATCCTCATGGATCCCTGATGGATTCGGTTTGTTGAACGTATTAAGTGACATTTGTACTAAAGCTTCATTGACGAAGAATGAATTTTCGTGACATAAACTCTCAGATTGATTCAGTTCCATTACCTATATAAAGAAATACAGAAAAAGTAGAATAATTTTTCTAGCAATTCACAAAAGTTCCATGAAATATTTTATTCCTAATAAAATCCAGCAATCAAGATTTCAGTAAGAATAAGGTCAGGAAGAATATTACCACTTACTCTCTCCTGTTACCTCCTTTCTAATGAGCTAGTACCAAAAACTTCAATTGGTTATGGATAACCTATCCTAAAAACGATAACAGTAACCAAAACAAGAAACAAACAAACAAACAAACAAAAAAAAACCCAAGAAGTAGTGTTCTATGACATTAAAGTGTTTCCACTTAATTTTAATCAGAGAAAGTAGCATTTTCACTTTTCCTAAATAAAAAAGTTGAAAACATAGCCATATACACATGAGGAATTTAGCCAATTTGAAAGGAAAAACAGATGCAACATAGATCTTTCTTATGATTTCATCAACTTTTATACCGTTATGCACTACCAATAAAAAGCATACATGCACATAGCACAGAAAAATAAACTCTTAGGACCAATGGAATTGTCAAGCATGGTTTGAGAGGATGCAAATAAAAATAAATAAATAACTCATCAGTGAAATGGATTTTGAATTTACTGTTTCAAATTTACAAAGAGCTTGGCATAACAGAATAGTATTATTTAGTTATGCTTACTATACTTGCTAAATTCAGCACCTATAATATACAGTAATAGCTAATCAATCTACTAAAAGGTACATGTACATAGAACTCTTAAGAACAAATGAGATAAAGAGGGTTCTTAGTGCTGGGAAAACAGCATGCTCACAGTCCGTGCACCTACAGGACAAACCCGTGCTAGCCTTACTAGGACAACTCGCTTCTGTGTTTCTTCCTTAGGTAAACAGTGTCTTAGAGTACAATGATCCAATGATCTGGCAGGACCTGGGCCTTTAACTTTTTCATATTTTAAGTCAAGACACACATGCATGGTCTCTGAAAGTCCCCAGCTTTGGCTACCTACAAATTGAGAAACCCTCATGAGCTCTTATCCAAGAACCAAAAAGGCAGCTGTTTGTCCAACACCCCAGGAATGAGCAGTACCAGCCCCATCTCTGAGAGGAGGCCTTACAACACTCCACAAGATCCCTACCTCCTTGCTGCCCCGCGGAAAGGCTGCGGGGAGGCTCCTCTGGCGGCTGTGCTTCCAGGGGCCCAGCAGGCCCTGCTGCACCCGCATGCTCGCCCTCTCCCTCTCCACCAGCCGCTGGCCCTCCCTCAGCCGCTCCAGGCTGTGCTGGTACTCCTGCAGCTGGTGGTCCAGCTCGCCCCGGCTCCGCAGCAGCAGCTCCTCCTGGGACTGGCACTCCCTCTCCCGCTCCTGCAGCCAGCTCTCCTTGGCCGCCTGCGCCCGCTGCTGCTGGTCGCACCTGCGGAGCCAGCGCCGCTGCTCCTGCTGGAGCTGGTGCTGGAGCTTGTGCATGTTGGCCAGCTCCTCGCGCTGCCTGTCCACGTCGCGGGACTTCTCCTGGTCCTGAAAGGGGCTGCCTCGGAGGAGAGGGTGGCCGAGGGACAGGCCCTCCTGCTGCTGCAGGACCAGCTTGTGGATCTCAATGTGGCTGTCCTGAATGGTCAAGGCGGCCTGCCAGAGAGAGGAGAGGAAGGATAACGAAAATGCCCGCTTCCATCTTGTTTGCCCTTTGGGTTGGCACTACCTCTAAACACAAAACTCATGCTTGAATTATTTTCTGTTACTATTTCTGCCCTTTTTCTAAGTCACCTCCAAAGACAGACTTTGGCATTTCAAATAGGCTTGTCTACATCTCCCAGTGGTATGACCCAGGAATTTACAGAGAAAAGAAACAAAGCACAAAAGCCATACTCATCCCCTCTTGTGGAAGCACCATTTGTTGCTGGTTACTGGGTAATAACTATGCAGTCTTCTGAATAAGAACTCAGTACATAAACTCACAAGGCCCTGCACTCCTGCGCTGCATCTCATTCTCTTTCTGAGGTCTTCCCAGCCAAAAATTCATGAGAGTTTAAAAATCTATATAAACCTAGCAGTATTTTTTCTTTGAGCCCCAAACCAGAAATTACTTGAGCTATATTGCTTTTATGAAGTCATAAAAATAAAAGCCAACTATTTGGAGACTTTTGGTAAATAACCTTTTTACAACACAACATGCAAGGATAGCAGTGAATACCATTTTTAGGAGATGTATAAGTGCCTAAAGCTAGTCTCATTATCTTTTTATCTTTATATTATAGCAGGAAGGTCATGCATAAAAAACTAAGCTGAAATCTATTTGTTTAATAGATCACTAACAGGAGGCTGGAATGATTAAGGGAAAATAGATACTCTAAAGCCCAGAGGACATTACCAACGAGATTAAAAAAACATTTTGAGTTACCATATCTGCCTATGACAAGTTTGGCAGCATCACAGGAAATAATTACCAAGATTTGGAAGGATTCCACAAAACCAAAAAAAAAAAAAAAAAAAATTTCTGTGAATGCCCTTGGAAGCTTATTATTTTAAAAGTTCCCATTTAAAATGCAAAGAAGGACAGAAGGAACAAATTGAAAATGGACACATACTGGAGATGTGTGTACGTTTTGACTCAGTATGAGAAATCATTACTCTCGAAGGGATAAATTCACATTTTTCCTTACTAAGAATTTTTTAACCTTATCCATGTTACAGATGTTGGGAACATGGGTATTTGACCATTAGTTCTTTGTGAGATCAGCAGATTCTTATATTTTTGAAAGTCACATTCATAATTGTCTTGAAATAAGACTTAGAAATATGTTCACCGGGGCGTTTTGAAAGAAAGTTCATATTGGTAAATTTGAAAATTAATTTCTGGAAGTTCAGACTCACTTGAATATGTGATTAATAGTTTTTGGCAGTTATTATAAAGAAAACAATGATTACCATTGAGAACAGGTACTAATTACAGTGATCTTTAAATACGAAATAATTAGCACATAATAATAAACCATTCAGACTCTGCTGACCTGGCTACAGAAAACTGTAGACTGTACATCACCACCTAATTCTAAGAAAGCCTAAAGGCATCAGTATGGTAAAAACAAACAAAAATCCAATATTTTATATGTCAAAACTACCACAGGCAATAACTCTCATGTAACAATTAACAATTAGAACAATTAAGTGCTACCATGAAGTAGTCTTCATGTCTACCTAATGTCTGGGAGAAGATCATTCTCTTCCCTGGCATAGAAGTGGAGTTTGAAGATTGAATATTCATTTAAAGTTAAATGAATATCCTGTCTTCACACTTAAAGTTTATATCTATATTTAGGACAGAGAACAGCACTTGCTTTTCAAGTTTTAAGGAAATTCCCAACTCACTCTGTCTTAACTTTACTTTGTTAGAATAGCTCTGTGTCCTTTCCTTTTGCTCTGCCTATGCCCCATTTCTAACTCTAGTCGCCTAATATAGGGATCAAATTTCATTTTCATCTGATTCAAAAATGCTCATGTAAAAACTTCAATCATGCATAAGAGATTCAGCTTCAAAAGAGATGACCGTGCCATGAACAGAAATCTTTCAGAGCCTACAGCCTTGGACCAGCTCAAAAGCTTTGGTGAGGTTAAGAGAATCCACTATACACTTTGATATTTCCAGTGTTGCTTCAACCTAATGTGCTGCAAAAATTAGGTCATTTAGGTCACCAGGCTTTTCTAAACCTTGAATCCACACAGGGCTGTATTCAGGGTTGAAAAGAAGAGACCCGACCTTGTATGTTTTCATCAGGCAACACAAGCCAGAATTGCTCAGTGTTCTCATCCCCCAAGAGTTAAAGGACTATATTCAAACTCTATGCCTTTCTCAGTTGACATTTAAAAGAATGAATATTTGTTTTACACGATAAATGGATCTCTAAGAACATCTACCACCGAACAGCATATCTAATATAAGACTCTGAAGGCATTCTCACTAAACCTTTTTTTTTTTTTTTTGAGACAGAGTCTCACTCTGTTTCCCAGGCTAGAGTGCTGTGGCATCAGCCTAGCTCACAGCAACCTCAAACTCCTGGGCTCAAGCAATCCTCCTGCCTCAGCCTCCCAGGTAGCTGGGACTACAGGCATGTACAACCATGCCCAGCTAATTTTTTTCTATATGCTTTTAGTTGGTCAATTAATTTCTTTCTATTTTCAGTAGAGATGGGGTCTCGCTCTTGCTCAGGCTGGTCTCGAACCCCTGACCTTGAGCAATCCTCCTGCCTTGGCCTCCCAGAGTGCTAGGATTACAGACGTGAGCCACTGCACCTGACCTTCACTAAATCTTGAACAGGACAAGGAGGTTACTATCATTATCATTTAACACATTTTCAAAAGTTCTAGCCAAAGCAGTAAGCTACAAAAATGAATTTGATATAATTATTGGAGAATAGCCATAATATCATTATTTTCAAATTTTTATTTTCTACCTGGAATACTCAAAAGAATCAATGGAAAAACTATTAAAACAAAAAATAAAATTCAATGAGTTGGCCAGTTACAATAGAAATACATAAAAATATCTTTATATCAGCAACAACCACTGGGGAAACATAATGTAAAAAATATTCCATTCACAAGAGCAAAAAAGAGACATAGGAATAAACTTAGTAAAAAACATGTATGTAGTACCTATGTGAGGACAAGTACAAAGCTTTCTAGCAGAACATAAGAGATTACTGATCCATGTTCTTAGACAAGAGGACTGATTATACCAAAAGTGCTAATTCTCTCCAATTTAATTTATAAATATAATGAAATTTGAACTTAATGGTGTTAATAAGAGATAAGAAACTGGACAGATTCAAAAGCTCTTTTGGAAGAATATATACATATGCACAGAAAAATAAATAAAAGAGATTAGCCCTGTCATATATTCAAATGTAACCCAAAGCTGTAATAGTTAAGATAGTAGTACTGAAACAATAATAATATAACATGAGAGAAAGAAGTCTTGATATAGTCTAGGTATAAATAAGAAAACATCAAAGGTAGCATGACTTTACATTTCTGGTAAAAACTTGGGCTTAATTTTATTTCCTTTTAATGTTCAGCAAGATATGAAGTATGAATTAATAATAAACCAATAGGGAAAAAATGTTTTCTTTCACCAGTAATCAAAGAAGCGCAAATAAAAATACTCAGGTACCTTGATTTATTTTCAAATTGAGGAGAAAAGAAATAGGATTAATTGCTTTGATTATTTTGGCAATGTTTGTTAAAAACCTGAAAAAAATAATTCTAATAATTTATCCTGAGGAAACACTCAGATATAGTCAAAGAGATTAGCGTACAAGGATGTCTACTACAGTGTTGTTAATAGCACAAAAGTATAAACAATAAGGAATTGAATACATGAATTCCATAGGGGTGATTATTATACAATCATTAAAAATCATGCTATAGAATAATAGTTGATGACAGAGAAAGTTACATGTTGCAAAAGAACATTTGTAAAATGATTCTAAAATCTGGAGGGACATACACTAACGTTATATTGTTAATTCTCTCTCTGCAGAATCAGAAAGCATTTATTTTATTTACTCGTATTCTCAAATTTTTCTACAAATTTTCAACAATTCTAACATTGCATATATATAATTCCAAAATATTTTTAATCAGTACATTAAGCAACTGAATGCACTGAGCCTCTTTCTTGTGCCTAAGGAATGGCCTAAGGGATCATCCAACTCTCTAATCCTAACCGTAAGCACGATTTTTATGCCTGTTTTTCCTTGAAAGACAGTAAGCCACCTGAGGGTAGGCTTCATGTGCCAGCCCTCAGCATAGAATTCAGCAGAGAAGGTACGCCACAAATGTGGAGTGGACGAACAAGCACAAGAGTGAAGAAGGCTATGAGTTATTTAACTGCTCTAAAGGCCTATGGCCACATGTGGAAGTAAAAAAAGTTTTGGTGTGAATTTAAGTTTTCACCAGAAAATGTGAAGTCATGCTACACTCATCTAAGAGTTTCATTGAAAACGTCAAGCCAGATCATACTCATCAATATTTTTTAAAGATATGAAGTGTTTTATGATTTCAGAGAAGAACTGTACAAAAGGCAGTGGTGGTATTGCCTTGATTACAAAACCAGGTGAAGTTCAACATATTGCACTTAGGAGCTGGCATTCTTTTAAGATCATTCAGTACCTCTCAAGTGTTCTAATTTTTAAAGTCTGGTAATCATCAAAGTGAATTGCATTAAGAGAAACATTCACAAGGTCAAAGGAGGATAGTTACCTGAAGGCTATATAAGAGGCGAGTTAGATTCTGTATAGCTTGTATAATCTGAAAAATAAGATCATAAGTATCAAATTCTTGAAAAAGCTTTCAGTATCCACAAATAAAGAGAGGCTAGTGATATATTTAAGACATGTGTAGCTCACCTCTGACTGTGAAGAACCTGGAAAACTTCTATATTCCACCTAAAATACATAAAAAAAATGAATAACCGTTTTACTTTCGAAAATCTGCACTGTAGTGTTCCAAAAGATATGACCTTAGGTAAATCACTTCACTCTCTCTAAACTAGATTACCTTATCTATCATGACTCAGTTTCCTCCCAGAAATAAAAGCCTATAGGATTAAACAACCACTGGACAATGAGATTCGCCTTCAGGCAAACTTTGTGTTTGAGATGCTCAACAATTCTTATCCAGCCATCCCTTAAAACAGCAAGGGACGAAAGTATGGAAATCCCGCAAACTCTAAGTGACAAGGTTTACCCTGTGCAAACCACACTGTAAACGGAGCTCTCTGCGCTCAGGTGGAAGGGTCTCCTGGGCGAGGCCAACCCCTCACACCCTGGGAGGCCAGATTTGGAAGTTAGGGAACATCATGCCTGACCTCGAATTCTCTTGTCTTTTTGAAGGAGACTCATAATGCCAAAATAGCCAGTGGCTGGGAAAAGAGACCCAGACCCAGAGACAGCCCAAAGGGGAGCGCCTGGCTGGGCTGCTCCACATCCTAGCACGGTCAGACTTCACTGTACCAGTGAGCGACTGCCTTAGCAGAGGTACCATCAGCAGAGGCCATGAATGAAGTCACAAAAGACCATCTGCTCCTTAGGGACAGGGGCCTATGCCTCATTCCTTGTCTCTCCCACAGCACAGATGAGGGACACCTGTGGATCCTGAGGGCTTCCAGTCTCTGGAATCGAACTGTACATTTGTTTATTAACTGTAAGTTTCTTTATTGTCTGCCTTCTTTCCCTAGGGCGTAAGCCAATGAGTAGAAAGACCTTATCCCTGTTACGTATCTTATATCTTCACACCTAAAGATGATGCCTGGTATATAATGGACATTCACAAATGAATGACTGTAAGTTGAATTGGACAGCACTCCATTCAATAAATAAATATTAATCACCCACAATAAACTTCACATCTTATGCTGCGGGAGAGCGTCAAATTCCCTACCTTTCAAGGACCTACAATCTTCTGTATGCTGCTTGCTTTTGTCTGAGCAGATCTAATTTTAAGTGGCTTTAAAAAAGTTTATTAAAAGGATTTGTTTTGTAAAATCTGGATTCAGTCAAAAGGTCACATTCAAGGATCTGGAAGGCCACATGTGGCCCCAAGGCCATAGGGTCTCCACCCCTGATTGGCTCTCCTTGCCTGCCTGTCAATACTCCACTGCTTTTGTAATAAGAAGACCATATGATAGAGAGTATTTATACTCTATAAAAATTAGAACCAGATAAATTAGTTGGATTGTGCTACCTGTGGTTACTTACACCACAAGTTTGATACAAGACGGGAAAGTTCACATCATCTTTTTAAATGGAGTTGGTCTGCCATCTTGTGGTGAACTTGCATAACTGCAGTTGGTGTTTCATAACATTTCTAGTATTTGGGTTACAGATTGAACTTTTTAATTTTCAGAAAATTGTTTTAGCCTTAAGGAAGGTAATGACAAAATAGCCATTCCATACTTTTTAAAAAGTTTGATTTCAAGTGATCCTGCCCTATATCTCAGTTCATTTTGTTTCTCAAAATGCCTTGTTAAGGGCAAGTTTTGCAGAAAGGTTAATCCACCAAAGAACCTGGTCACTTACTCTAACTTACCTACCTGTGACTAAATCATAGGGGGAGAAGTCTTTAGGGGTAGGAGCCGCCACAACTTCCCACACGAGATTAAACTATCACTGACCCACTTACTCTTTCTTTTCTAATAATACAAAAGCAGTTGGAAACTACCAACTTGAGACTTAAAGGGGAAGTCAGCACTGAAAAGGAGGAAAAGCAGGGACATCTTAGGAAAAAAGAAGTTAGAAAGCTTACAATTAAAAGAAGTGGAGTAAAATATTGCATTTCTATAATCACTTTGGCCTGTGAAGTTGAAAAAAGAGTACGAAGTCACAGCTGTCTTTTCTATAGATTTTTTAAAATCCTTAGACTTGGTTTCTTAATCATATGTATTATAATAGATACAAAATATATGATATGTAAAATATGTTAAATACATAAGAGAAGATCTGACATTTGTCATTTTTCCACATGGACACATATTGGTAGCTGTAATGTACTAATTTGATTTTGGAGAAAGCCAACCTGCTGAGCCCCAGACAAGCTCGAGGAGGCCAACTAGACACCTCCCAGAATCATATGTTTATTCCTTTCCTCTGTCTGACATCTCAGTTTCATTTGAAGTTAATAGGAAGTTTTATGCACTTAATTTTTAAAGAGAGCGTTACCACCTATGTATGTAGAAGTAAAGTAAAAAAAAGATGCATGTGGAACTGCTTTCCCCTGCAAAAACTGGTGAGGTTAATTAAAAATCTACCACAAAAAATGTAGGTGAAGTGTGGGTGGTGACAGGAAATCAACTTTGGAAGGAGAGAAAGTTTAAGGAAAGTGACAGAAGCAAGAATATTCCCAAAAAAAAGTGTTTCAATTACTTTGGCACCATCTGGTCGCTCAGGGGCCCGAGAGGCCCAGGACCACGGCTCTGCCAGACCTGCCAAACACGGTGGGCGAGAAGCAAAGGGTTGCAGGGCGGAAAGCAGAGCGCAGACACACACACACGCGAGAGTTTTCAATCTGCTTTAATGACTTTCCAATCATTTCTTTGTTTACACCTCCACGACACAGGAAGGACAAGCACATTTGGAGAAGGAATAAGTTAGAAAGTTTCAATATGATTATTTCAATCCATTGAGAACAATGCAGAAAAGCACTCTCCTCCCAGTCACTCCCGCTGCAGAGCAGGACCTGAGGCCATTTCATTACACACAGTAACCCGTGCTCTTTACTAACAAATCGGTGGACAATACCTTCTCCCCCGCATCAGAGACCGCCAAGTCGGTTACCACACCCTGGATCCCGGGATCCACATCCCAACAGCCTCTTCCTTCTCTCCCTTCTGTGACTAGTGCTGGAAGCACACCATCGAGACAGAAACAAAAAGGACAGTATCAAACATCAGCCAGCCGACTGGGCTCTCGCACACAGCCGACATGTGTTTTTGAAATAGGAAACATCACAAGATAATACATATCAAACCCTCTTTGATGAGGTGCTAACACAGCACAGAGCAAAGCACGCAGTCCCTGCCCTCATGGGGCTTACACGCTAAGAGATACCACACGGACAAACGGCATCAGTGGTCACTCCTCTTTTTGTTTTTCACTTCCTTCTCGCGCTGGCGTGCTCGTGTGTTGTTTGTGGTATAGAGGGTAGGTTCTACACCTCGCTTTCACTTAATAGGAAACTGCCTCTTGGGGAGGGTGAAATGTCAAGCAGGTGCTGTAGAACAAAAGCAAGGTCTCTTGGCGGACTGGAGTCTGTAGAAAGGCTCCCTGTGGCCACTACGAGAGGTTTAGAGGAAGAAAGAGTCCAAAGGCAGGAGGGAGAAGACATCTTTCTAAGGCGGCTTGGAGATGGCTAATACTTTATGGTCTCATAGTCACACAAATGGAGAACCTATCCCTATCTCTGAGTGATTTACTTTTTAACAATTTCCAAATATCTTTTATTCTCACATTTCTTGCTTATGCTTCACAAATACTATAAAATTCTGTACATTTAACCTATGAAGACACAGAAACCCAGCCCAGAAATATTTTTAAGTACCAAATACAAATTTCACTTCATCCATTAACTCTCCATTGGCAGAATTTTATTTATTTCTTTACCCATGCGAACTTGGTTAAAACTTCTACTAGACCCGCCTTGCACTGATGAAAACTAGACTTTTCAAAGCCCTTTCATACATAGAATTTCATTGGAACCATGTCTACTCAGGACCCTGATAAAATAAGATACTCACTCTGTGACACTGTTTATAAAAATTTTTTATTCATAGTCATCTTGAAACCTAATTTCAAATAAAGGAAATGATTTTTTTAATCCTTTAAATTAATAAAAATACTATGTCTTTGGAAAATGGAAGTCCTCTAGGACTCCAAAGGCCTCTTCTAATACAAAGAAGTTTTTGTCTAAATACAAACTGCTTCAAATGATATCAGCTAAAACCCAAGTTCATTCTAAGCTGATCAACACTTATTCACTTATAGTTAAGAGACATTTTATAGAGATTTTTCTGTCATTCAAAAAACGGTTCTACTATTGGGTACTATTTTTAACTCTTATAGCAATGCCAAAGGCATTACCAAAGAATTAGCCATTCTCTTTCTTCCACATGAAGGCAGAGGATGGAACACAGACCTGCCCGTGCATTGAATTCCAGGGTAGGCGAGAGGGTCTCCAATGGACAGAGCTTCACTGGTTGTAGATTCTACTCCACATCTGATTAGCCTATTGAGGACTAAATACAGAGGACTTTCCTTACTGATAGCCTCAGACTGACATGAGCCTGATCTGGAAGGACCTGGGCCTCAAAGTCAAGGACAGAACTGACTCATTCAGTTATTAACCTTCCTTTAGGAATAATCTTTTGCCCTTAACAACTTTACGAAGAAAATCAAACTCTTGTAGCACCATGTTGCAATCCAGCCCAGGACTGAGGTAGCCTTTGGGGTACAGGACCCCACCAACCTGCCCCTGTACCTCTCTTCTACCTCAATCTTCCTATCAGACCAGTCTGTAAAAGGCCCTCAACAGTTCCAGCAAATGCCAGGAGTTTCCCTTTGGAACTCTCCCAAGTCATGGGGGATGCGGACACAGACGGGAGAAGCTTCGTTGCCTGGCCTAAAGGGAGAGAAGGTACGGCCGCACGCTCCGGGCAGCTGCAGGAGAGGAGCGGAGCCTCCCCAGCTGTCCCTGGGGTGAGGCTGACAGCAGCAGATCCCTGCATGTATTTTTAGATAGAACTTCCTCAATGGCATAATGAGGTTCTTCTTTTAACAGGAAATCACCCAGGGCAGTACAACTCCCCTGATGAATCTGGGCTGTGCCAAAATGAAAAACATATGTGCACATTCTGAAAATAGAAACCCAGGATTAGATAAAGCAGAACTCAAGAGGGGAAAATAATTATTGGTGCTGGTAAAAAAAAAAATGTATAGAATTAAAAAGCTATATAGCTCCTATATATCTTAATTAACCAAAGGATGTTGTTAAAGAAGTTCTAAGACAATTTAACCTTCCAATCTCTAGTTACTAAAGACATGTTACCTTCTGCACACAAGGAGTCGGGGAAGTAAGGTTTTTACCACCCCTGCAGGATGAAAAATATACTGTTCATGCTCATGCCTTAGAAACCTTTACTGAACTAAGTGTTTAGCTTACAACCATACATGTAACAGTGTAAGCGGGTTCTGAATCTAAACCAATTCTCTACATTTTATTTTTCTGTATTTAAAATATATTGAAATGGTGTTTTAATAAATGAATTCTGACCTGAAATAAAATATATGATGATCAAGAAATTTTCCAGCACTTCTGTCTTTAACTGCAGCACCAAACTGTGTGTGTGTGGGTGAGAGAGAGAGAGAGAGAGAGAGAGAGAGAGAGAGAGAGAGAGAGAGAGAGAGAGAAATGTGTGTATATTTCCATATTCTGGGTTGTTTTCTCAGGTGATGTGTATGAGATTAAGTTTTAAGCACTTACTCTCCAAAAGACTGCAGGGACTTTTAAAACAAAAAGTTAAAAAGTTCTTTCAAAACTGTACTCAATAAACCATATCAAAGATGAGGTAGGGTAGGGTTTGTTGAAGGTATAACATTCGGATGAGAACAGAGCAATATAATCCACCAATTACTCTTTAGGTCCTTGTCCTTGGAATATCAGTGTCATTACTTTATATATAATATTTATTTATGGCTAGCACATTTATTCTAAAGTTTTTTTTTTCTAATTTAAAAAAATACATTAAGTCCCCTCCAAATAGGGACAGAATCACTGCCTTCAGTTTATGTGACCACTCTAAGCTCCAGGCATGGTGTGCAGGCTCATTGCCAGGGCCTGCATTTTCACTTACAAGCAGTAGGCGATCCTGGGACATCGTGAGAAGTGTGTGTGTCCGTCAGGACAGATTCTCCACAACCGTCCTCGGGTGACTGACTTACGTCACTCATCTGTGAGGCCTTCACTGCAACTTGTAGGCTCTCAGCTAAGAACAGAAAAATAAAAATAAATTTAAAAAACAGATATATGCATATAGTTTACACTAGGGTTTGGAAAACTGAATTTGCCTATGCCTGTTTTTATACAGCCCAGGACTATTTTTACATTTTTAAAGGACTGTTAAAACACACACACACAAATATATCCTAGACACTGTGTGATCTGCAAATCCTATAATATTTACTAACTGGCCCATTACAGAAAAAATGTACAGACCTACAATCTAGAACAAAACTTTTAGCATCATTTTATGATAGAAAATTAACTCAATAAAAAATATGCACTTACTATATAAAAATATCTCAAATGCAACTTTCAGTACATTAATATGCTGAAAAACTTCCTATAGTTTGATGAATTCAAATACCATATCAGACATTAGTATTTTAAAACCTATTATTTAGAAATATTAGTTATTCTTCAAAGGACTATTTCCCCAAACTAGTCTTAAAAATACAGATTCCCAATCTTCACTCTAGACTTACTGGACCTGATTCTCCAGAGGAGAAGAGGAGATTCACATTTTACACAAGCACCAAAGGCTACTCTTAGGATCCCAAGCTTAGCTTAGGCCAGCTTAGGAAACATCACACCCAGCGGGTGAAGTTTTTGTTTACAATAAAAGATATTCAACTAGTATGTAGAATAGCATAATTTTGAAGACTCTACAAATATTTCTAAAACACCTTGCTCAATGATTCAATTTTGAAAATACTCATCGAACATCCACTCTGTTCTAGGGGCTACTGGGCACTTGGTAACTAATAAGGACAGTTCTCAGATTGGAAGGAGGAAAGTTATACACAACTAACTACACTACAGAGCAGCACGTGGTCAGTTCTTAGTCCTATCATCTGGTTATTAGAGCATCGTAAAGGCTACAGTAGCACGGATAAACAGGAGAGTTATGCTAGCTAGTAGGATTAGGAAAAAGTTTTTAAAGGAGGTAAAAACTGGGCAGGATCTGGAAGGATGCAGGTTCTCCAAGAGGCAGAGACAGAAGAGGAGAAATTTGGGAAGAAAAACAGTCCAACAGAGAAGACCGAGGGAGACCATTCAATGTGAACTGCCAAACTGTCTTTTTGTCGGGAGATGATGACATCACCCTTACAGCAGAGGTGAGAGTCCCTGCTATATCTCTCAGCTGGGTGTGCATGGCCAATGACTGAGGGTCGATTACCCAACCCGTGGCTCCTGCAGTACACCGCCATTGCTCTGGGGCCACCACTGCACCCTGCACCCTGCACCCTGCACCTCTAGCACAGTGGGCCAGGGAAATGGAAGCAGATGGACTTACAACTCGGTGTTAGTGGAAGTTTTGGTGGGGGAGGAAGTTAAAGTCACTGGCTAAAATCCAGAGTGGGTGACTTATTCCACCAAAGCTTCATCAAGGATAATGAGGAGGTCACTGGTTCTTGTCAACCCATTTGAAAATCCTTTTGGATTTATTTCTAAAATGTACCTTGAATCTATCTACTCTCTACTTCCATTGCCAATATCCCTGGTCTAGACCAACCTCTGTCATTTCAACTCCTATAACTGCTTCCTAACAGGTCTTTAGGCAGACTCCGGTCTTCCCAACCTGGTCTCCATTCAGCAGCCGGCCTTCTTTTTAAGACATAAATGAGACCATACTACACCCATGATTAAAAGCTTCCAGTGATTTCCCATCACATTTGGAATAACATCTCTCTCTCTCTCTCTCTCTCTCTCTCTCTCTCTCTCTCTCTCTCTCTCTCTCTCTGTGTGTGTGTGTGTGTATAAACCATGCCCTCCCATGACCTGGTCCCAGCCCACCCACCTCATCTCACCGCAGTCTCCCCTGACTTCTGCCACCGTGGTCTTCTTACTTTTCTCGAACATGCCAAGCTCACTGCAGCTTCAGGGACTTTGCATTTACCTCTCCTCTCTGCCCAGGAATGGTCCTCCCCAGATCTCGAGACAGCTGACTGCTTCTCATCTCTCAATCCTCATGCCAAAAATCACCCTCCTCAGAGACGTCATCCCTGAACTCCCTAAAGCAAAGCCTTCATCTCATCCTAATCCCATTATCCTATTTTCGCATGACTTTCTGAAGTAATCTTGTTTCCTTGAGTATTGTCCATCTTCCCTCATTAGAAGGTTTATGAAAACATTGCTGCTTCCTCGGCACCACCAACAACACACAGGTTTGATGTCAGTGAGTATCTCACGAATGGATGATTCTATCGGGGAACCCCATGTAAGACAACCTCTGTGTCCTTCTCAAGACCTCAGTTTCTTCAACTGTGACATAAAGTGACAGATCCCATGATTTCTAAATTCTCTTCCATACCTAATATTCTGAGATGCTAAACCAGAGCTTGGCAAACATATTCTTCAAAGAACCAGATAGTTAATGTTTTAGGTTTTATGGGCTGTACAGTCTCCGTCAAAACTGTCGTCTCTGCCACTGTAGGAAAAAGTAGCCATAGACAACACAAACAGGTGAGTGTGGCTGTGTTCTAGTAAAACTAAATTGACAGAAACAGGTGGTGGGACAGGTGTAGTCTGTGGTCTGTAACTGACCAACCCTCCTCCCGGCCACTCTCTCAGGCAGTGGCTGTTCGATCTGCCAAGCCCTTTGTTCCTACTGTCACCTCCAGACCATTATCCCCATTGCTCCCTTAAACTCCTTTCTCCCTTGAGGCTCCTGCCCCCAGATTACCACTCATCCCCCCTCCCTGTTGTTTGTCATCTGTGGACCCCCAGCCCCTTGCCTGTGTTCCTTGAACGATTTAGCACTGGCACAAGTTCTCCCCTCCCTCTGACACTAATCAGGTCAAAAGTCTTGGTCCTTTCATTTCTGTGAACTATCCTTCCTCTCCCTGGCCTCTCTCATCTCCAGCAATCTTGCCCTCCACCTTCCCTCAGCCACCACCACCTGCCACCGTCACACCCTAGACCTAGTTATTGCCAACATCTGCACTTCGGCACCTCAAGTCTGTCCTCCACACAGCAGTCAGAGGGGTTCTTTCAAGCCACAAATCAAGTCACTCCTCCACTCAAAACTCTGGCACGCTTCCCTGCCACTCAGGATGAAATGCCAAGTCCACAGCTCAGTCCATGTGGTCTGAGCCCTTGTTAACTCTGGACTCATCTCCTGCTACCGCCCGCCGCGATGCTCGCGCACTCTCCCCACACTGTCCTCCTTGCTGTTCCTCAGACAAGTGCCCATTGCTCCCTACACCTGCAACATGCTCCCCCAGATGTCACTTGGCTTTCTCACTTCCTTCACGTCTGCTTAGATGTCATTATATCAAAGAGGCTCCCCCCCCCCTCGGCCACCCCATCTACAATAGAGCTGCCCCAACTCCATCACCCTCTAGTCCCCTTACCTGGCTTATTTTTCTTCAGAGTACTTGATACAACCTGACACATTTATTTCTTTGTATTTTGCTGTTTCTAGAATATAAGTGCCAGGACAGTAAGGACTTTGTCTTGTTCCGCTGTATCCTCAGCACCAAGACCACAGTGCATGGCACATAGTAGGTGTTCAACAGACATTTTGTGAATTTGTCAACCCAAATCCTTTTCAAAGCAATTTACCTTCTTTCAGTGCTGCTGTCAGTAATGAGGCTGCCTGGGGAGGGTCTCCTGGGTCGGGTTTAATGAGGAGGTGGGGCTCTAGATGGACATCCTCAAATCCGCTCAATTCTCCAAGCTCTGCGTAGATACGCAGCTTCTCCTCCAAATACGTGCAAATTTGTTGGTCTTGGTTAGTGAGTGTTTCTATGAAATAGTATTTACCATATGAGGCTATCACTTACATGAATACAACAACAGATATGAAAACCCAAGTTCTAAGATAAAGATGTTGCTAATCAGTGAGCAGTATGATCTAAAAGGTAAAGCCCAGGTTGTTAGGTGGAAAAGACCCAGGTTCAAATACTGACTATTCCACTTAGTGACTATGGCCTCCAGCAAGTGACTATGGCCTTAGCAACTCTCTCAGCTTCCATGTTCTTTTCTGTAAATAAGGTTTCTTTCCCGTTCTCCTAATTCCAGAAAAACTTGCAAAGCTATTCTTTGTTTATTCAGGCTGTTTTCCATTAAGACTAAACATCAAGCTCAGGAATGAAAATTGAGACGGCATTGTCCATGATGAGTGAATACCCGCAAGAGAAAACAATGCAAAGGCCTGAAACCACTCAGGCTTCAGCCAGTTTTGGTCAAAACCAAACATGCCAATTTACGTTTTTGTTTCTAAACATCCAATTTGTTTGACCAATCTTTGCATGCATCATTTTCCTCTGATTTCAACATGTTACAAAATTCTTAAAGCTCAAAGGGACTTTACCCAGCATCTAATCCAGGAATCCTCGATCATCTCTGTACCCCGGAATCACCTGGGGAGAGTTTAAAATACTGAATCGACAGCCAACCTCCCACACATTGTTTCCAAGGGTTGAGGGTGGGGCCCAGGCATCAGTAATTTAAAGACCTCCCCCAAGTGATTCTACTGTCAAGTCGGAGTGGAGAATCACCAAACTCATTTCTGTACTTCACAGATTTGGAAACAGAGAGCTGGACCTATTGGGTTCCTTGTCCAAAGTCATACCATGATGACCATGACAGTGTTGGGACCTAAAATCAAACCATCAGCAATTCCAATGCTCAGCTGCATCACTCGGCTCACACTTATTATTTCATATATGTCACGTGCATTTTTATATATGTTTTAATCACTAAGGTGGAAGAGGAGAGAAAGTCATCTTACTCGAGTATTTCTAGTGCAAACATTTTTGTGGAAGGAGGATGGTCAGGGTGAACCTTAGGTGTACAGAATTAATTGGTTAGTCATAACCTTGTGTTCATGACACGGGCTTTCCTAATGCCCAAGGAGAACAGCACACAACCAGGGAGCCAGCAGTCCCCGCACTCTACCTTGACATTGCTGAATCTTGGCCACTCTGGCTTCCGCTTTCTTCCTTTCTTCATCAGATTCACTTGTCCTTCCCCCTTCTTCTTCTGGGCAACTTTAAAAGACAAAAGTCAAGAGACATAACTAAAGTTAAATCTAAGTATCTGTAGGTTCATTAGAAAAACATGAGACCTTGGCACTAGAATATTCATAAAGGAGAAAAATTCAACACAGAATTCATCATGCTCCCTGGCCAAGAGACTTGGTGTTCTTGAATACATAAATGACTTTGCGTAATATAACATGGCCCTCAAAGTCAACAGTACAGGATGACTCAAATATTCCAACAAGCACAAAGAAACACACACACACACACACACAATACCAACACTGGCATTAAGTATAACTAAAATAAAAAGTTTTGCTTTTCTCTACATTTGGGAATTTCTATTCTTAATGGTGTAGAGTGGAAGGGTTGTAGGGGATAAACACAGGGTGCCAGATCGGGTGGGGTGCAGTGGAGGAGGAGGAATTTTCTATAACTTCAAGATCTAAGTAATGAAATTATTGTTAAGAATGATCACTGCCACCCTTGTGCTCTCATTTATAAAAACTGTCCTTGCACAAGCAATCAGGAATAAATTGACTTAGAACACTTAGATCCACCAATTTAGCAACATTTATTGAATGATTCTTCAGTATTAGGAGAAACATAAGACACGGTCCCTGCCCTCAAGGAGCTTCCAATCTAATTAAATGAACACACACACACACACACACACACACACACACACACACACACTAAAAAGGTAATAGCAACAGAGCAGTATATGACAAGTACCAAGTAAATGCTTTAGAGAGCAGGTGTTAAAGGATTTCAGGTAAAGGAGAGACCACTCGGACTGAAGAGGTCTTCACGAAGGAGGGGAGGCTTGAGCTGCACCAAAGCCAGGCGGGGCTCACGCAGGCAGAGGGAGGCGAGGGCGTTACATGCAGGGAGGTGTGGAGGACAAGGCCGGAGGTGAGGGGCTATCGCAGGCGGGGGCAGGGGGCAGGGAGCAGACCACTCTGGCAGAGGAAAGTTTTCGTGCAGAGGAGACATGGTTAGAATATTGTTTCCAATTGAACAAGTCTGTTGCACAGATTATGGACAGAAATGTTACCTTTCTACTGCCTGCTGGATGCGTCTCATCCAGTTGTTTCGTTCCTCCTTGGAGTTAGTGTGAATTTCATACATCTCGGGACCAGCAGATGAAGCACTGATCAGAAACATTCCTCTCTCCTCATTAGCAACTTCTCTAGCAATAAGCTTCTGAAGGGAAATAACCGATGGCTTCTGATCCTACATAAAACAGAAAAATGTGCAGATGAAACAGCATCCTATCTAACCTCTAAGGCTCTCACAAAACATGAGCTAAAGAAAGCAACAGTACTTTTTTCTTTTTTCACTTTCAACCTTTTCAAAAGAGCTGCAGAAGCTGGTAAGATCTCTAATGGAGAGGGTATGGAGAAGAGAGGAGGGAAAAAGGATTTAGGGGAATGTTGGTCCTTAAGAATTAGTGGTTTAAAAGGGCAACTTTTAAAAAGACAGAATGAGAGAAGAAAAAACTATCAAAATGCCATAGTTAAGGAAGGAGGAATTTTTCTGGGAGGGCATAGAATAGGAAACAGTGTATCAAAAATCACAAAGAAACTGAGAAGGATGGAGGACCTAAAGAGTCCATTGGATTAGGCGGTTTACAGCAACGCGATTTTAATAAGGTGGTGATAGGAACAGAAGTCTAGAAACCAAAGGTAGACTGTAAAAGTGGAAGGTAAGAATAGGTAGGGTGTAGCCAACCTCTTCTGCTGTTGTCATGCAGACCGCAGTAACACAGCTTCTAGAGGTCTACCGCAAAGGCCTCTTCTCACCAACCAGATGAGCCCTTCGTGGGTGGGAATGGGACTAATTCATCTTCATATGCCTAGTGCATAGCCTTGCATACAGTAGGCACTCAAAACATGTCAGCAGTTAGAACTACTTTTACATAATTCTACCAGAAGGGAATAGGAAGAAAGTCTACAATCTGGCAGCCAAGCCACGATGGAAGTCCCTCTTCTACAAGCATTTACTGTGATCCTCCCATGTCTCCTTCTAAGCACAGGGGATTCAAATGAACACAACACTGATAACACTGACTTGCTAGGTGGCAGTGGTTGAAAGAATGGCCAAAAGAAATGTCCTCGGAATGAACAGTTTTGCGGGTAACGTGCAAAATCTTCTTTGGTTTGTGGCTTCCACCGCTGTTTATAGAGTTCATTGCACTGGGTGGTTTTGTGTCTTCCTCGTGGCCTAAGTGACGCCTTGATCCAGAACATGCCACTCTGTCCTCAAGTGTTGACTCTTTGGTGCTGGCGTGTAGCTTCCCCAGCATTACACAGCTTGAGCATATCTGATGTTGTGTGCCAGGGAATAACCAGAGAGCTCCTCACCCCACTCTTCTTGGAGTAGCACCAGAAAAAACGTGATGGGACAAGACCACTAGTCTACCCAGGCCTGTGCTCTGCCTCTGAAAAGGCAAGCAAAGTCAGCTTTGTGGAAGAATTGTTCACATACTGCCCTCTCTAATTAGCAAGATCCTGTGAGCATTGTCGATATTCCTTATTCTATTATGAATCTGCTTTCCAAGACCTTATCTCTTTTCCCTGACTCAATGTACAGTTTTAGCTTCCTCAGCTTACAAGGTAAATGGTTTCTGTAAATAAAAAGGCAGAGTGGGTTTGACTTGCTTAAAACATGAGCAAGAGTAAAATGATTGGAATCAGTTGGTCAGTGTTTCTGGGGTAGAGGAAGTGGCAGGATAAGATCTTTTAAAAGTGAAGAATAGGTAAGTGTGTAGAAAGTAGCACTCATTCTATCACCGTCAGACTAGGAGGCCTCAGAGACATGTCCATCAGTGTTCACAATAATCACGCACAAACACTAAAGATGAATAAAAATTCAAATTAAATCTCCAGGAAGGGAAGTCACACATCTGTCTGCTTTGGAGACAGATGTCAAACAACCAGCCTGAAGAGATGTTTTGTTTGTTGCCATGGCATTTAATAAACAAATTTTTAAAATAAATTTTCTGAATTTAAAAACTGGGTGATTCTACTTTTTAAAAAACTCTAGATTTCTGGATTCTTGGGAAAAGTAGAAGATTGCAATGGTGGGCCCATATTCTCATTTAAAACCATGCTATAGCTGAGTAACCCCTGTTCTCTGAGACAGGTGTGTACTCACTTTTTTACTATAGTCCCTACCACTGTACTGTTTCCTTCATACCAACTCTGTTTGAGTTCACTCATTTACATTTCCTGCCCAACCCCTACAGGAATTTGGAGTTGAAGACTTCTGATGTAGGGGAAGAGGAAAAGGAGCTGCAATCCCTAGCCCTGCTATCCATTTTGTGATTTTTTAGTGAGTGATTCCATTGTGATGAAAAGATCTTAAGATCTTTTCTTAAGATCTGCTTCATAGTTTGAACTTGAACTTGCAGATCTATGTGTTCACTATGTCTGTTATTTGTTCCTTTTGAAATTACCTTCTTTGATGTTCAAGAGATTCCTCCTAGATTCAGTATTCTAGGACTTAGTGAACACATATATTTTTTCCTATAAATTGTATGGGTTTGGGTACTACTCTCATTTCCTACTGAGACCTCTTTAAAAACAAAAACAAAACAAAACTTTCCTACAGAGATGCTACTCCATCCTCTTGCTGCTATCAGCTGCTTATCTTCTGGCTATTTCCAAACTTATCATGTTTTCCATAACATGTAGCAAGACAAACAACCACTAAAGTTTTTTCTAAAGGGCATAAGAAGTGGAGAATCTCACCTGTGTGTACTAGGGTGAGGATAATGTTCTAAAATACTAGGGTGGTAACAAGAAAATCCAATATGTGTATACCCCTAGAGAACGCCTCAATTCCCCACAATATTACACTATGTCTAATTCACGATCAATCAGTAGGACATTAGCCTGTAATACCACCCAAGAAGCAGAATTTGCTTCTCTTTCAGGTCTTTGGTGTTGAAGAAACATTGGTTTCTATAAAGATGTGATGTGAATTTTTTTCCTTTGCCAGCATGGCCCTCATCATCCCACAGGTTAAGCAAATGATGAGCACCTTCCCACTTCTTTTCTCTATGTCCCATACCAGATGATAGCACAGAGAGGCCACTGGACAGATCAGTCGGTTTTCATGAAATTTACAATAGATACAGTTCAAGTGGATTGGGGACACGGGTTCTTGTTTAATGTTTCTTTTTATCCTCTACTATAGTTCTGTGAAAAGGTCTTTGCGGTTTATACAACTCAGCATCATTGTGCCGAACAGGATGAAGGCGGCTCTCAAGTCAACCTGACAAGCACAGAAAGGCAAGATGTAACCCTGCCCCCAGAATCCCACCACTGGGCAGACTTGCTTCTTTGTTTTCTCTGAACAATATAACCGAAGCTTCGTTAAGCTTTGAATTTACAAAACAAGTTGGAAATAATGATATCTGCTAATGGCGCCCAAATATCCTATCACCCAATGGATGATAAACACCAGCATTGTAGAGAGCCACCATTATACTGCCCTCATTGGTGTTGTGTTTTGGATTCTTTCCTCTAACAGGGCCTGAAGCTCCATGATGCTAACAGGGAGTTCACTGCTGACATCTTCCTTCTCCAAGTCATTTTGGAACACACAGATTCTATGTAAGAAATGCTGTAAAATGCTGGTTTCATTGCTAGTCCAATTCTATGTGCTGGCAATGAGATTTTAATCTTAGATAGTATAAAGATAAATGTTCCATGAACACCTTTAGCCATTAGTAGCCAGTAAAAATAAGAAAGAATCTTCTTTAAACTTGAGACAGCAGGATGGCATTCTCTTGTTTGGCAGAAGGAACGCCATGGCAGTTATGAACAGAGCTAACAAGCAATATAGCAAGGGCAATGGGGATGGAGACTGCCAGGTTCTGGGAGTGATCCAGTGCACCCAGCATTAACACTTTAGTTGCTAGGTCTGAGGGAGGGAAGTTTGGGGTCAAGAGAAGGGGGTTTCTAAAGGAAAGATCAAGATAGCCAGATGACAAGGAGGTACTTGGGGGATCAAGGAAGTGCCTATTCACAAACTGATACCAAAGGGCTCCAATATCTTCACAATTAAACTGCTAGACCAGCTGACTACCAGCACTGGCTGTGATAAATCAGCATTTATCACACTAATTCAACCCAATTAGAGGCTTGTTACTAAATACTGCAACCGCAAATAATAATGGGAATATAGCAGAAGCATATGTTAATACTTGCCTGTAACCATTTTATTTCACTAGGAATTTCAGGCATTTTTCAAGGAAATGTGTAATTAAACCTATTTTGTAAAATGTATCACATGGTCAAATACTTACGACGGCTGCAAAGATGTATTTCTGGTCTTTTTCTTGTAAAAAGAGCAGCACATCAGTTAGAAGTAGAGCTAGGATATCTTCAAAGAAAAAACATTACTGGTATTAATGAAGGAAATTAAAGTTCAAACACCTTTATTAAATATTCTGATTTCATACTTGAAATTTAAATAAATTTAATAAAAATAAAAAGACTATGAAAGTTTATGAAAACTTTTTATAAAAACACCTGCATGATGATAGCCAAAGATATATGCTATAGGTAACTTAGGAGAAAGTTGTGTTTAAATGTGCATTTTTGTGTGTATATAACTGCAGGTATAGCTATAGCTAAATCAGCAGCAAAATTTAATATAGTAGCTTTCAAAACCGAAGATAAATATTCAAGAAAAAGGAAGTTCTAACAGAATGCAGCAAGCCCTTAGCTTTAGGGGGCAAAAGTGCTTATAAATATGTAAGAGGGCGGCTTCTGCCTCGAATTATATATGCAAACCTGCTATTTTGTGTCATCTAGATCTGAATGAGGTTTAAGATTCCATACTTCCCTTACAAATTGCACACAACTCATCTTCACTACACAGTCTAACATAAAGTTAACAAACTGATTCTACTAAATGGATAAAGAGGAAATGACTTGGAGTAATAGATCTACAGACTGTGGTTAATATTTTGTCAATTACAACATTGTAAGATGCTGATCAACAAATCCCATTTCAGACATTAGATGTAACCTCCATCAAAACTTGATCATCCTCTCAAGGGTGATCTTTGAGTAACTGGAATTTAACCATCTCTCCCTCTCATTGCTTACCGTTATTAAGATGAAGTGCTAGAAACAGTGGTTCTGACCCTGGCTGCAGGGTAGAGTCACCTGAAGAGCTTTTCAACAACCCTTGGGCTGGGGCTTCATCTCTACATCAAGAAAATCAGAATCTCTGGGAGGAGACTTGTGCATCAGCAAATTTTTTTTAGCTCCAGAGGTGACTCTAGTGTGTGGCCAGGGTGAGAAAGCCTGCATCAGGCAATGTGCCACATAATCAGTCCTTAAGAGTTGGAATAAACTGCTCTAGAGTCTAACCAGATTAACAGAGTCAAGTTCATGCCCGTTAACAAACAGTAGCACCGAGGAGGAGTTAGACCAGCGTCAGCATGTAAATGGATGAATTCTGTTACTCAGTAACAAAGATGACATTCAGAGTTCCTTTCTCCCCTCCACGGTCTGACAGCCCCTAGGCTGGCTTGGCAGGCAACAGACCCTAAGTGTGTAGGTGTACTGCCTTGCTTTCAACACAACACATTTGCCAGAATAATACTTCCGTGCCAACAATTAGCAGAACTCTCAGCTCCTTTGATTTTAGACATCATAAACTTGCAAATTCATAAAATATACATAAAGGTTTTAGCTTGGGGCAGCAAAGTCTCACCAAAGATTTATATCATTGTCTATGTTTTAACTATTGAAATTCACAAAGCTTTGTGTATGTGTGCCTGCAGTTCTGAAACATTTTTCTTTTGAAGATCTATCCTCTGTTAAATGAATAACATGTATGAAAGGAGGAGAAATTGGTCTGGTAGAGCTGCAGTACCTTTGAAACGACCTGTGGCAGTTTTCCAGTAAACAAGGCCATCATATAACAGAGTCCTTTCTTTACTTATCAGTGCCTGCTTCCTAAACACGTGGCCATTTTTGAGCTTTGTGTACGTTTTGTTCTCGATCTTATTTAAGATCTCAAGCCATTTTTGGTTTTTCTCATATTCGTTGACTTTTAAATCCACTGTTGCAATCATGTCTTTAATTAAGCAAAGAGCTTTGCATAAGTCTTTATGTTCTTCAGTTCCTTCTGCATGAAAAAAAGAAAGAAACAAAAAACACTATATAATAAACCAGAGTGCTAAGGACAAAAATTTTTTCTTTAAATATACTTAAATATACTTGTCTTTAAATATACTTAAATGTATCATCTAAATAACAAAATTCCCATAAGGAAAAGGTTGGAATAAATTCAATTGCAATACTATCACTCTGCACCTTCTCCCTCCCTCCCCCAAAAACAAACTCCATTGAAATATTTGATTATAAAAGATTTGCATTATTAAATGTATTTCAGCTCACAATAAGATGTCTGAGTTCTAGGAATGGGTCTGACCTTCCCCCTAGAGCAGGGAATGTGTCATATACTAACTTATGCCTTCCTCCTACCTACTCAGACATAGGTAATCAAGTCATCCCCACGCCAAGTTTCCTAGAACTTAACCCAGCTGCGGGGCCAAGCCAGCGTCCTCTCAGAAACAGATCCACAGTGTGACTTGAACGGCCCTAGATTAATTTGCCTTTCTGGATCCCTTCCTCCACAAAAATGATACTCAAAATTATATTTTATAACTGCCTTAGCATAAATATGAATATATTACTTTTATAATTTAAGCCACTTTCCTTGACCTAAAATTTTTCTCTTCTGATTGTAAAAGAAATTATTTTCTAGGCATTGTGCCTAATGGGTAAGTTGTCCACGCTCATACCAAGAGCAAATAATCATTGATTTCAGTTGTCATTCTTTAAAACACTGGCCACCTGTTCTTATCTCTAGATTAGCTTAAGAAGATACTGTGGAGGAGTTTCTGGAACAAATGAAATGAATTTAGCTATTTTCTCTATTTGATGATAAAGACCACCTAGTCAATGTTTGTTGAAATGACTGGAACTGAAAAGTAAAGTTTCAGGAGGTCACAGGTATTTAGAAGGAGAGGAAAAAAGAAAAACTGGCAGATAAACCAAAGGTTCCCAGACTAACAAGAAAAAACAAATAGAAATAACAGTCAAGTGGAAAGGGCATGAGTCCTTCAAAAGGTCTAAACATTTCCAGGTTCTAAATGTCATAATAGATGTGTGAAGGTTTTATCAGAAAATCTCAAGGAGCAGATCCCGACACCCATCTTTTGTATGGACGATCCTTTCTCACTGCCTGCCAGAGAATACACTCACCACTCCACCCTCCCTCACCCCCACTGAGCCCCTCCTCTCCAAAGAAAGGTTTATATCTAAAGACCATATGTCACAGACAAGAAAGCTGAGTAGAGAAAATGTCAAAGTTGAGCTTCATGTGACCTGGGCTAATGCCACGAAAGGGCTCAAAGTCTTTCGACCTTTAGGGACAAATTATTAGGGACAAATTACTGTCTTACCATGCCTTGCTCCTCAAAGAGTAGCAGCACTGACCTCACCTAGGAGTCTCGTTAGAAGTGTTTACCTTGGGCCTCATCCCAGACCTACTGAATCAGAATCTGATGTGAGCCAGATGCCCAGGTGAAGGGCATGGCCAGTAAGGTTTGAGGAGCACTGCCATAAGAGAGCCATGTGAACCCATGTCCCCAGAAGCCCAGGGAGTAACTGGCCATTGGTACTGACCAGATACCATGCCAACCATGCCCAAGGAGCCATAAGTCACACTTGCAGTTTCTGACACACAGTGTCCAGTAATCGTTATTCTACCAGGAATCTTACATGGGCTGACCTTTGGAGTAGCAGATTTTAGTCTTTGAGGTGTTGTGAAAAGGGAATGTAAACATAATACAAACTAAAAAGCTTTAATTTTGTTGGCATTCTTTTGCTGAGAACAATATTTATGAGACTTTTCTTTTTATACATTTATATTCTCTTGCATATTAAATTATAGGGAACAATAAATATGGGACATAAGAAACAGATACTACCATTCCTGCCTGAACTTAGTTGTAAATGTGACTGAAAAAATGAAAAGAATAAATTATTCATGTCTATTTTGACCCCTTCCAAAAAAAAAAAGAAGTTGAGCTTTGTAGCATGGGCATTTAAGATCTCCTTACCATTTTAATTATATCTAAGACAACTGATAATAATAAAGACAATATAAACAGCTGCCACTTATTGAGCACCTTGTTTATAACAGGCTCTGCACTGGGCACTTCCTGAGACAATCTCATTTAATCTTCACAACAATTCCATAAGGTTAGGATTATTATACTCATTTTGTAGTGGAAAAAACTGAGGCTCATCTAATTAACTTGCCCAACTAATGAGTGGCAGAGCCAAGTACATATAATGGCAATACAAGTTACATAATTCCAAACCCAAGCCCTTGTTAACATAACACACTATCACCCTAATAATTATTTTTACTCAAGAGCAATACTCTAGCTTGAGGATAAGACATTTTTATTTATTCATTCATTGAACTGATACATTTCTATTTATTGATGGTCTTCTGTACCAGCCATGGCACTAGATATTGAAGATCCCACTGTAAACCAGAGGCAGGCCTTACTGATCCCACAAGGAGCTTATGGTCCAGCCATGTGCATTCATAGCTTCTTAAAAGATGGCCAGATGTTACTCCCTGGAACTTAATGAATGAACAGGATCAAAATAGCTCCTCCTTATTATCCTTCTCAATCTAATAATTTATTGCTTTGGAAAGTTGACTTTTGGTGATAAGATCAATAGCAACATGTTTGATCAGATTGCTGTAAGGGCAATAGGAAGACGAGGATGAGGATGAAGAGATAGCTACATTAAGGAGGTCCAGATACAGGGAAACTATAGAGAGGAAAGGCAGGATCAAAGAATGAAGAAGTCTGCTTGGCTTGGGCTACTTGTAGAAATTCAGACTATTAGCCAAGCTATATTATATTATAAAAGATAATTCTTTAAAATGAATCCAAATTCTAAGGCTTCAATAGTTTACCCATAATGAAAATCTTTATGAATCAGAGGCCAGAAACCTTTATAGCTGTTTAAGACATTAAGCTACATTTAAAACTAATAAGAGAGTCAAATGTTTGTACAGAAGTCATAACTCACCCTTTGTGTACTGCAATATCCTTTCCACCAAGACAGGGTATTTTGTGATGCGCTGAGTGACCAACAGAATGCACTCTGGAATTCCTCGGCGCCGAGCCAAAAGATTACTATTTCGGAGCTTTAAAAAATATATATATATATATATTTTTTATACATACAAATTCTACCTGTATTTACTTTGTAGGTGTGAATTTAACAATATAAAGATTCTGCAACAGTACAATTCTGTTCAGACTTAACATAATATTAATTAAAACGATGCCTTGTGGTTAATTTAAATTGTATACTTTGTCATTAATTTCAATACCCTAACTCTCCAAGATTTCAGAAAGTTTCAAGTTCCTCTGATGTGTTTGTAGGTAATTCCAAAAGTCAGCAAGTTCTAATACTTCTAAGTGCTAGAATTCATGAACAGCAAGTTTTTGAAAAATAATCAGAAATCAAAGTTAGATTTGGAACATGAGTTTGCAGTGTACTATTTCTTTCATTCCCTACATTTGTTATCATTCATTATAACACTTAAAGTTTCCTCTAATCTGGGCAATTTTTTTCTAAAAATCTCAAGATATTACTTAAGTTTTCAAGCACTCCACACACAGTTATGTGGGAAGAAAAGGGGGTAGAATCTGGTAGCATTCTTAAAACAGCAGATAAACATGTAGAATCCCTGAAACTTCATAGGGCAAATTACTTCAACAAATAAATTGGAAGGGAGGGAGAGCATTCAAATTGAAAGAGATTTTAGAGGTCTAACCAATATGTGAACCTTGGTCAGATCTTGATTTAAGCAATCTAATTATGAGATAATCAGTGAAATTTAAAGACATCAAAACATTATCACTAATTTATTTTGTAATATGTCATTGTAATTTTTTAAGATATATTGTTAGGAGATTAAATATGAAATTATATGATGTCATGATTGCTTCAAACTAATTCCATGGAAGTTGGGTGGATTCTATTTATTTTTACTTTGGTTTTTCTGATATGTAACTTGTCAGGGCATGAAACAGCTTCCCAGGATATGACAAATATTCTCAGAAGTTTGGAGAGCATGATCTCACAAATAGAAGACACAAAAGGAAGTGATATAGGAGAAATATTTTAATAACACAGAAAAAGAGACTTTCTATCTTTGCCACAAACCTACCACCAACTCTTCCTTCTCCTTCCCCTGAAACATCACCTAGATATGAAACTTGTTTAAGTCATAAGAAACAAACACAAATTATATCTCTCCGTTGGTTTACCACTTTGTAATAAAGTTTTAAAATACTTGCCTTAATAAAATTCTGAAACTTTTTATTTTGCTGGAGTTCTTTAAAGAGGTTAACAGCTTCTTTGTGGTGGCTACAGAATTCTCCATATATTTTCTTCATTTTACTTGCATTTTCTTCTGAAAACTGAGAAGAATAGCGTTTCAATAATGGCTTATAAATTTAGTAAGTTCTAAATGCAGAACAGATCATGCAATTTTTTACATATTTCAAAATGTTCTTTGCAAATAAGGAATAAGCATCATGGGATTTCTGAACACAATCACTTCTCTTCCCCCAAACACTTTTTAAATTAAAGTAAAAGTAGTTGAGTGGTAAGGGTCAACCAAACATGATTCTATTATATTGAACTAATACAACTATCAAGTAGCCAAATGAAAAACACTTGATGTCTTCTACTCTCTCTCATTTGTTTTTTAGCTTTTGTGCAAATTTATCATTTAAATTTGTAGTTTTAATACTTTTATAGATTGAAGAAAGGATATGTGGCAATATTTGGGAAGGTCTGGCCTCCCCAAAAAATCACTAGTAGTAGTTTGTATTTACATTGGCTACTGACCATGTCCATGGTCTCAATCCTTAGTAAGGAATTTGACTTTTGTTTGCATATTACAAGTGGATCAAGATGCAGGCTACTGTTAGCTAAGATGAAACCAGTGCCAATTTATTAACTAATGAAGAGAAATAGAGATGTGAGCTGGATGTTTCAATAAGCCCGACTTATAGAAAAATATCCTTAGAAAACTCTACACAGAAATCAAGTTAGAAACATAAGGTGGTGTAGAGAGAACTAACTGAATGATTTGAATGCCAATTTTTTAGACTATGATAGCCTTATGTACACAGAACACATCCACCCGCACCCTTGAAAAGTACTTAGAATTTTATTATCGCCATCTCTGGCCTTTTCATCTTTACTTATAGTTTTTTTATCTATGTTTGGGGTAAATATATCTCAAAAGATGAATCTTATACCACTTATGATTACTCAAAAAAAATTAGGTATGAGTCTATCAAAACATATGCAGGACTTGTATGCTGAAAAGTATATAAGGCAGGTGAAAGAAATCAAAGCTCTAAATAAATGGAGAATTATACTACATTCACGGGTTGGAAGACTCAAGATAGTAAAGGTGTCAATTCTTTTCAAATTAACATACAGGTTTAATGAAATTCTTCTCAAAATCCCAGTAAGCTTTTTGTAAATATAGACAAAACTATTCAGACTGTTCTTGAATGTATATGAAAAGGCAAAGGAACTAGAATAGCTAAAACAATTTTGAGAAAAAAAAAAACAAACAATGAAGTGGAAGGACTGAATCCTCTAATTTCAAGATTTATCAGATAGTTACAGTTATTAAAGCTATATGGAAAGATAGGCACATAGATCAGTGAAACAGAACAGGAATCTAGAATGCCCCCATGATTTTTGACAAAGGCACAAAAGAATTCAATGGAGAAAGGACAGCCTTTTCAACAAATGGTCCTGCAGCAATTAGACATCCATAGACTCCCCCCAAGCAAAAAATGAACCTCAACCTATTTAGTCTCATAGCCTTGTAGAAAAATTAACTCAAAATGGAACACAAACTTAAATGTAAAACATAAAACTATAAAAATTTTAGGAAAAAAAAAGAAAATCTTTGGAACTTAGGGCTAGACGAAGAGTTCTTAGATTTGAAACTAACAGCACAATCCTTAAACGAAAAAAACTGACAAACTGGATTTCATCGAAATTAGGGAATGAGAAGACAAGTTGCAGATTTGGAGAAAGTATTTGCCAATCACGTATCAGACATATAAAGAAATCTTAATATTCAACAGTAAGAAAACAAAAATCCAACCAGAAAATGGGCAAAAGACATAGACATTTTACCAAAAAGAATATACAGATGGCAAATAAGCACATGCAGAGGTGTTCAATATCATTAGTCACTAGGGAAGTGAAATTTGAACCACAATGAGACATTGCTTTATACCTCTTAGAATAGCTGTAATAAAAACAACAGTGACAACATCAAATGCTGGTGAGGATGTGGAGAAACTGAATTACTTGTACACTGTTCATGGGACTGTAAAGTGTACAGCCACTCTGGAAAACAGTTGGCAGTTTCTTACAAAACTAAACATACAATTACCATAGGACCCAGAAATTGGGTTCCTGGGCACTTATCCCAGAAAAAGGAAAACTTAGGTTTGCACAAAAATCTGTATACATAAATGTTTATAGCAGCTTTATTTGTAATGGCTAAAAACTGGAAACAACAAGATGGCCTTCTATAAGTGAATGATTAAATAAACTCTGGTACATCCATACCATGGGATGCTACTGAGCAATAACAAGGAATGAACCATTGTTATACAAAACCACCTGCATGATTGAAAAAAATTATGATGAGCTTGAAAAAAGCCAACCCCAAAATGATTACATACTGTGTAATTCCATTTATATAACATTATTAAAATGACAAAATTATAGAATCAGAGAACATATTAATGGGGTGCCAGGAGTTAAAGGAGATGTGGGGACAGGAGAGAAGTGGGTGTAGCTATAAAAGGGACAGATGAGGAATCCTTGTGGCCATAGATACATTCTGAATCTTGATTATATCTGAATCTTCACTATATCAAGGTCAGTATCCTCGTTGTGATATTGTATTATAGTTTTGCAAGATATTACCATTGGGGGGGAATAGTAAAATTTTTAAATGCCCAATCCCAGACCCCACCCCAATCCTATGGAAACAAAACCACTGGGGGTTGGAGCACAGGACTCCTCATTCTTAACAAGCTTCAGACAATGAAACTATTGCTTAAACCAACCGTGTTCCTCATAGTTACAATTTCTTACCAATACCAAGAGTTTCCACCGAACAAATCACATCATATTCCAGCCCAGCCTCCTAAGATCATATTCAGTCTCCCTAGTTAGAATGTGAGAAGCATCCAAACTCTCCCCTCATACATCCCCAAACAACATGTCTTTTCCTTTGTGCCCACAGAGCACCATACTCACATCCGTTGTCTGAGGATTTTGTAAATTTAATCCTTAGGAAACACCTTTATTAACAAAGTAGCATTGGGGGGACCCCTTGCCATATCCACTATGCAAGGAAAACAACTAGAAAACAAATGCACACCTAAATCCTTTTCTCTGAATACCAAGGATTCTTTCCCCAACGGTGAAGTGTGTGATTCTTCCAAGAGACTCAGTCTCACAATACATGATATCCAACTCCTCAAACTTTGTTCTCAATTTAAGCCCTGTTTTATCCACAGAAATTGAATAACTATAGAGCTAATAGAGATGTGCAACTTTGCAGTTAACACTCCAAAAGTAACTTAAGAATGAAAATTGTTTAAATAATTAGAATTAACATATGGTAAAGTCATGGCTATTTGTATCAAGGAAAGAGAGATGCACATGATTTCAAATGACAAATTTCATTTTGGAATGCAGTCAGAATCAAGTTCACTTAGACACATTCAGACATTTTTATTCAAATTGTCTTGCAAAGCATTTTACAGTCACTTAACTAGGCCCTATTAGTTGGCACCATATGTTTCAGGTGAAGTATGAGGACCAAACATGTCTAGAACTTTAAAGATAATCTACAAAGCAGAAGTTGCTGTGTTAAGGAACTTATTACTAATGTGGATTTTTACATTTTTAAAATGTAAAAGTAGGAGTAGCTACTAGGCAATAAATCTTAAGTTTTGTTTTTGTGCACTAAAATTATGTGTGTTTCAAACTATTTCTATCAATGAACTTAACTCCCCCATTTTTAGCATACAGACCAACAATTGGGCACCATTGTTATATGTGACAGGGTAAAACTGCTTCAAAAATTAATATTTTTGGAAAAGATGGCATTTTGACATCTACCTAAGGAAAGCCATACTAAAGCAATTAGACATGGATCTACTTGCCTTTTCCCAAGTGCTACAGGCCACTGTTAAACATGGCATTCAAGTGAATTCCTGATTCTTTTTATCCTAAATGACCCATTCATTCAATAAATATATTAATAGTACCAAGCCCTGTTCTAGGTGCTGAAATATAGTGGTAATGAGATAGACAAGAATCCCTGACTTACTGGGACTTCCAGTCTAGTGATGGTACATGCTTCCTTCGAATGTCACTATGAACATCTCAAGTTATCATATTCTTCACTCATGTTGATGAAAGAGCAGATTTTGATTCCAATCCTATTTATGTCACTTCTGAGATATACAAACTAGAGAAAGTCATTGCCTTCTCTATGCCTCAGTATTCATATTTATACAATGGGAAAAATAACATCTACTTCATAGTGTTGTGAAGGTTAAATGAAGTAATACATGTGAAAGCACCCTAAAAGTGCCTTCCATGTTAGAGTCACTGAATACACATTATCTACCTCTCTATTAGCTTGTTTATAACGGAGAGCCCCTTCAGAGAGATCAGGGAGACAGTGCCCATTGTCAAAAGCAAGGGATTGTTGTTTTACTAGGAGGATGACATAACATATTCTTGCTCTTGCTTCAAACATCCTGACCCCTTAAAAAGTGCCTTCTCTTAATGAGATTTGCTTGTCTTGTCCCCCAGGCATGAACTCTAAGGCTTTAATGATAATAGATTAGCCTCACCCTTCCTGAAATGAACCAACATTTGTCTTGGAGACATTAGTGGGACCATCACAGGCCCACTGGGGGAGTCACATTATTAGAGAACTTCATCATGTCAAAAAGTCTAAGTAGACTTTTGATAAGGGGACTACTTTATGGTTGTGACTCTGGTGGGGACACCAATAGGGCCACAGATGATCCAGCCAAGTCCTGTAACAGAGAAGTCAGGCATTGCCTGTTAGAAGCTCTCAGCCATCGGTCCTGAAGACCAAAGTCAAACAAAAGAAAATCAAATGCATCTGGAAATAATCACAATGAAATCAATTCCATTTCTCCACAGGTTTTTAACACTGTAGAGAGTCTGACAACCTTTAGGTTTCTGAGTTCAGGGCCTTTAAAACACTCTTACCTGCTGTACCAGAATATCTCCAATTCGGTTGATCACAAAATTCCTGTCATTGTCGGCACAGGATTCCTGTCTTCGCTCCTTCATGCTGTAGAAGAAATGCCTGTGGATCTCAAGCAACTCATCTAAACAGGGGAAGATTTTATCCACAGTGCTGTGGTCAAGCTGCAGCTCCTCTTTCATGCCTTTCCTGAAGATCTCAGACATGATGAACAGGGTCTGGATGTGATGCATCTCTGTCTGCATTAGCTCTGAAATGTGTGAGCAGAAATGTGTGTTACACAAGCTTTAAAACACGGGTATCCTCGAACCTAGATTAGTAACTCAACACTGTATGTTACACAAATAAAAAAGAAGGAATGTTTAGGAATAACAAGAATATTTCTTCCAATATGAAAGTTAGCACTAACTAAACATTTAAGTTTTAAAATATTAAACCATTTTCCTTTTTCCAGATTTTAAAAGAGGATATATATATATATCAAGTCCAATAGTTAAGAATCTAATTATCTGAAACTCTCATAATATAATTAGCTAGCATCTTTTAGTTACCTTCAGCTAGGAACTAAATGCTCCATGAAATATAACTTAGTCTGCTGGTTTTCTTTCTTTCTCTGGTTTTTGCATTGAGTAGGAATGCAATTAATTTGGTGAATTGAATTGAACTAAATTAATAAAGTTCCTCAATGCAGACAACCATAGGTCCCTTCTATTGCAGGTTGCAGGAACTATCTCTAAAATTCCAGTTTCTCCAGGGGAAACAATGCATCACAATCAAAGGACACCATCAAGAAATTGAAATGACAACCCTCAGAGTGGGAGAAAATATTTTCAAATCATATATGTGATATGGAACTTGTATTTAGAATATATATATTTTTAAAAGCCTCTTACAACTGAACAATAAAAAAAACATCCAAAAACGGGCAAACGATTTGAGCAGATGTTTCTCCAAAGAGATACACATAAGCCAATAAGCACATGAGAAGATGCTCAACATCACTGGCCATTAGGGAAATGCAAATCAAAACCAAAATGAGACACCATACACACTGATAGTGATAATAAAAAGCTGGACAATAAACAAGTGTCAGTGAGGATGTGGAGACATGAGAACCCTCAAACATTTCTGGTGGGAATGTCAAATGGTACAGCTGCTTTGGAAAACAGCCTGGCAGTTCCTTAAATGATTAAACTTAAAGTTCCATACAATCCCAAAAGTGGAAAAACCCAAAATATCCATCAACTGATGATTAGATAAACAAAATGGAATATCAGCCATAAAAAGGAATGGATTACCTATATATTACAACCAGGATGAACCTCAAAAACATTATGCTAAGTAACAGAAGGCAGGCACAAAAGACCACATATTGTACCATTCATGTGAAATGTCCAGAATAGGCACATCTACAGAGACAAGAAGTAGATCCATGGTTGCCAGAGGCTGGTGGGAGGGGGAAATGGAAAGTGACCTACAATGGCTGCAGGATTTCTGTTTGAAGTGATGCAAATGTTCCGAAATCAGACAGTGCTTAACAGTTGCACAACTTTGTGAATACACTAAAAACCACTAGGTTGTACACTGCAAAGGGGTAATTTTTATGGTGTGTAAATTATATCTCAATTTTAAAAATGCATCCTGAGAGAAAATAACAACTCCAAAATTTATGGGCGTACCAGAAGTACCAGTTCTACATTAATGGATATCTCCAAACATATTGTATGTTTTGAGAAAGAATCTAAATATCAGTCACAGAAAGTAAATAAGTCTAAACATAGTTTTGTTTATTATATTATAATAAACAAAAACCTCTTTCCTTCAGAATCCACCAACCTTTAAGTTTCATTATTTCCTACCATGTTTTTAGTGCCTACTCTGTGCTAAGCCCTTAACCATATCATTTCATTTAATCCTTTAATTCATTTATCCATGATGACCCCCCCCCAATAGTAATGCTTTTCCTCCTCTTTAAGAGGAAAACAGTGAGGTGGGGAGGTGGGGGGGATAGGGTGGAAGAAAGAAAATAAATAAATAAAAGGGAAACAGTGAGGAAGAAGAGGGTGAAGGATTTGCCATGGAACACAAACCTTTCTGACACCAAAGACTATGCTGTGTGTGATAATTCATCCCAAATGGGTGAGATTATTTTTAATAACACATGAAATTATAAAGAAATGAAGAAAAATGACAGGATAATATAAATTGCTTGAGAATCTTCCTTTCCAGAGTAACTCCCATCTATATGGCCCCCGGCAGATTTCAAAGCAGGCTGGCACACCATCTCGCCCGACCTGCAGAACCACCACCTGAGGCAGGTGAGAAGGTATTCTCATTGCCCAAGGATGTTTTGGCCCATACCTGCATACACAGGATTAGTGAAAACTAAAAGCTGATCTCATTTGTAAAACTGTGTACCTTCTTGGAACTCCTTTTTAGCATCTACTTTGTACTTGAAATTTCTTAAAACTTCATTTTTTTCCCTAATTAGTCCATAATTTAACTTTCCCTAATCCAGATGGCCTCCCCCGCAAATAGCATGAAATCGTACAATCTTATCACAGTTGAAGTCTGTACTCAGGACTGCAGCACACGGTGGAACTCTGCCCTAGTCCAAGTGCGGCTGCGTGTGCTGCTGTGTCTATGCACGGCCCTCCTGGAACATGCAGCCAAACTGTAAGGCCATGTGCAGGAACCCTGTCTACCCCACATTAAAATGTGTGAAAGTTCACTGTGATTCTGACATAGAGGAGGTAAGAAAGTGTAGTTCAAACCTAAGTAAACTTGAAAGGGGTATGAGAAATTAAATTTGCTCTGTACCAGGTTGATAGGGTGCCTCATTTAAGCCTCACAACAACATTTTAAGCCTGAGTATTATTATCCCCATTTTATAGATGTAGAAACTGAGGTACAGGCATGTTAAATAATTTATCTGATTTCAGGTAAAGAGCAAATGGTAAAACTAACACCTCTTGTATTATCCAGGATGGAGCTGGCACCCATTCTCCTAAGTATCACAAGAATGGAAAAACAAAGACCACATGTACTCACCATCAAATTAGTACTAATTGATCAACACTTATGTACACATATGTATGTATCATTCACTGGGTGTTGGTGGGAGAGGGGAGGAGGGGATGGGTACCTTCACACCTAATGGGTGTGGTGCACACTGCCTGGGGGATGGGCATGCTTGTAGCTCTGACTCGGGCAGTGCAAAGGCAATTTATGTCACCTAAACATTTGTACCTCAGTAGTATTCTGAAAGATAAATTAATGAATGAATGAAAAAAGGAAAATGACAGAACTGGGATTTAACCCAGGTTTATATGGTTTCAAATGCCATGCTTCTTTTCTCTACACCACAGTTTCAGCCCAAAGAGCATATTTGAAATGCTTACCAAAAATGACATCCTGTCTTTTGATGACATCCTTCTCCTGCCTACTACAAAATGAGGGATCCACCACAAGACTCCAAGATTCTGCTTCAAACTCCTGGGCATCACTGCTGAGGTCACTCCACAGAGAAGAATCCACGACATCTAATACATGTTTAGAAAAGAAAAGCCCTAAGCAAAGTAACACACCACACCAACAGACCTCCTTAAGTGCCCATGTCTCTGGACTCCTCACACTAAATAAACCCGCCACTAACACAGGAGCAATAGCCCAAAATATGATTGATGTGAAGTTGAAACATCTGAAAACTAGACTAACAAAATGGTCCAAGTCAAGACAGCTTTCATGGAAGGAAAGAAGACTCAGATATGAAAATAGTAATTGTGTATATGGGGTGGGGAGACATTTGAGGATTCTTTTGTTTGTTTGTTTTGGCCGGCTCTATTTTCGTTTTATTTTTGGTAACCTTCAGAGTCCATAATGCACCCACAGATTCTTGAACCTGCTGATTTCTTCTGCCCCAGGTTATTTGCACTGTTTGCTCAAATCTGAATTTTGTACTTGCCCATGAGATTTGCTCCCAGCTTGGCAAGACATGAAGGGGAGTGTAAAGACTAGAGTTGGAAGAGAGTGCAGATTCTCTGTTAGAATTGCTTATGCACCCACACACCCCTTTCAGGAAAACTAAACTCTACTTACTCAAATGGCACTCATTACAGAAATTCTAGCTCAGAGCAGTAAAGATGAGATGACAATGAATTTAAAGGCTTAAGATTAAAATTTTAAAAATGGGTTCCTGGGGCAAAGTCTACTCCTCTCTCCTGTCACTATTCTCCTTCTGTTTGGTTCTTCCTCACTTATTGATGCAGCTTGGATACAAAGACCAATTCCCCAGATCAAGTCTTGTCCTATAAAATACGAATTTAGAAGTGTTCTTATTCCCCTAGAAGTAGCAAGCAAAAGATGAGAATAAGCATCTCAGAGATTCAGGCAAGACTAGTCTTAGCTAACTAAAGTCTATGTTTTTAATGTAGGATTCTATTCCAATTCATCAATAGCTATAAAACACTCTTTAATGATAAGCATACAATGTATTTCATCCTTTTCATTTATGCTTGTGACATATTTCTTCAGTATGTGTGCATTTAAAAGTTGCATCACATTTTCTTGGCCACTATCTAGTTGTTTCCTCTAGGGCTAAATTTTCACTCTTTTAAAAAGTAGAACCTATACCAAAGAGACACCATGAAACAGAATTCTTCTAAAAAGAACAAAAGAATATGCTTCAACCTTATAGCCTTCATAAAATATTCCTTTGGCAAGCGCTCACAGAAATACAAATAAACGCAAATGTGTCTTCTCACCTTCCATTATGAAAGACTCCGTGGAGGGAGAAGAACCCACGGACTGTAGCAGCTCATCCGAATGAGACCTGCTTCTGCAGTTGTTACTGTCACTCTCAGACTCCAAGGATGTCACTGACCTCCTGAAGCTAGGAGGGAGGATGGGGAGAAAAGTTAACCCCAGCAGCCTCTCTGAGCTGTTAAGATTTAAAAACACACTAAGCCTTACCTTTCCAAGGTAGTGCCCGGAACACTTCTGGACAAGGGATGGACCTGCCCTGCAGTTTCCTTCCTTCCAGCTGGCAATCCGATAGGCATGGAAGAAGAAGGGTGCAGAGAGAGGGCAGGCTGTGGGATGTCTCTAAATGAAGAATCTGGAAATCAGAATAGATGCTTCATGTGGTTTCCATAGACGATGGTAATTACAAGTAAAGGTAGTCACTTAAAAGGCAGAAAGCTAAGCCCTTGAACAACCACTTCTAATGTGTCACATGCCCAGCCTTGAAACAAGTCTCTGCTACGCCCTGACACTTGCTTCAAGTATCCCTTCCATTGCACAGCCTCCTGATACTCAGGCTGCAGGCCTGCTTCTGCATCTCCACTGGAGTCTGCAAGAGTTCAGGATTGCACAAACAAACAAGAAAATGGCATGGGGAAACACTGGGCCAGCTTTTCCATAAATTACTGCTGTACTCCTTTGAGCCAGCTGTAAACAGAGGCAAGGTGTTATTAGCACTATTACTAGAATGCATACTGTGTATATAAATAAGCATACACACACAGAGCATGTCAGTGGAATGGAATGATGCCGGGGAGTCTATTCTTTATGGTATAAGGATCTCAGGCAAATGAAACCTGTAAGCCAAGCTGGGCTGTTTTCTCTCACATATGGAAAAATGACATAGTGCTTCTATGCTTTTCTGGTCAGTTCAAAAATGTCTAGGCATAGATGCATTTATATCTATGCTGTAAATGACTCTCAGGAAATATTTCAGTCTCATATTATAGCTGTAGCATATACATTCTCAAGCAAAAGGGGAAAAAAGATTTAAATAGATCTTAAGGTGTTACAAAGGATTTTACGCATACATGTATGATTTAATTTTATTCTAACTCCATGTAAAGAGGTCAAATATATGGCATTTTGCCAATTCAAAGATGCTTTTTACTTTCATGCTTAACCGTGTGAAATAGAGAAGTGCCTTACAACTGATATCTAAGAGACTGCCGGGGTCAAGGCAGGGGAGTAAGCAACGCGACAGCTGTGATGCCTGCATTCACTTTACCTAGTATAACATCACACCCAATAGCATGTGACCATGAATTTGCATACCCAATTGTCCCGTGATTGAAGTGGTTTTTAAAATATCAGTCACACTTTGTTATAGCCTTGAAATGAAAGTTGCCATGTACTTAAAATTCCTGCCACAGTCAAGCAATGCAACTTGAGGCAGAAGAAATTGCAAAATCTCTCCCAGGGAAGAAAAAAGATTTTCAAACCTAGGAGACAATGGTGTGACCGGTTCTTGCATGCAATGTAAAAAAAAATTTCAAATGCCACCAATTATTTTCAAGAGTAATTGCTTAAGTTTCAGCAATATACAATTCAGGAAAAAACAGGGCCATGTTAACAAAACCCCAGCATGCCTTGAAACTTCACTGTCATTCTAAAGGTGCTAATGAGATTGAGGCCTCCAGCACAGCTAATCAAGGCACTAGGTCACCATGGTAATGGACAACAGGGACTGATAGAAATCTACAGACTCCAAACTTGAAAATTTTTTCCACCAAACTTTGTGATTCTTAAGAAGAATGTGGAGTATATTTGTATACATAAATATGTGCTGCTGCTAGGAAAACATAAAATTATGTATATTTAGTGGGTTTCTCTGTTCCCCAAAAGATCGTTCATAAATCAAGACAGCATATTCCTCTAGACAGCATCTTAGAATTGAGGCAACTGGTAATGCCTTCTCCTTATAGCCCTTTCTAATACAAAGAGTCATGTGGTACATATGATGCAAAAGCTCTTAGGCTGGCAGAGAAGTTTATATCCTTCTTGACCTCTTTATAAAAACTAAAAATTATGCCAAGCATATGCTATAAAAGAAATAACTGGGCAAATGAGAAAACAAAAGAAGGTATTTTTACAACGGAAAAATGTGTGGTATGTATTAAATTATAAAAAATTCTTGTCGTTTTCCACATCACTTACTTCCAAGGATGGTCTGTGGTTTGTTCTTGTTATATTTCTCCTGGAATTTCTGGTAAAGAATATTAGAAACACATAAAGTAAGATCAAAGCGCCAGTGGACTGCAAGAATGTCCACAGTTACACAGAACAGGATTCTTATCTGTATCGTTTTTGTTATTTTATTTCAAAGAGGAATTCAAAGAAAAAGACATTAAATGCAATGAGAAACAAAATGTGATGATAATAAAATGTGCAAGTTTTAACGAAGGGGTGCCTCATGAATACTCCTGGCTTCATTAAAAGCTTCAGGGAAACTAGACATCTCCAGGTCATGTGACCAGACCATGCTAAAAGGGGAGTTTCTATCAATACCACCCTTCTCCTTCTTGCTTTTTCCTACTCCTTACTATTCCTCCTGCCTGCAGGACACAACCACTTCGAGCACTGAAATGTCACTATCCAGAAAGCTCTCAGTTCTACAATCTGACACAATATGTGTTTCAATCAACACAGAGGTGTGTAACTCCTTCCCTCTGAATTATCATCATTCTTGACATCACTGTACAGAGGCAAAGAAAGGGAGAGAATCCTAGATGCCTTCATCTACTCAATCCCACTGCCAAACACAGAGAACATTCTTCTAGGCCTGTGGTTCTCAAAGTGGGGTCTCAGAACCAGCAGCATCAGCATCGCCTGGGAAGCTGTTAGAAATGTACTTTCTCAGGCTCTGCCCCAGATCTATGGAATCAGAAATTCTGGGAGTGGGGCCCAGACACTTGTCTTAACAGGTCCTCCAGCGACTGTGATGCTTGCGATTTATTGCTCTAAGCTTCATTTATGTGCACTCAGGGTTTGTGCTGGTAAACCAAGCAGGTCTGTACAGAAAGCCTAACCTGCCACCCCATACAGCACAAATGGCCAGACTTGAGCTTTCCTGCTATTTCTAAAAGCATACAGTTAAGTAACTACACACTGTAAACATGTCTTATCCCTGCAGTGATCACTTTAGAAACGAATCTAGACAGCAATAGAAGAGTAAAAGCTCAAACAGATCATATGAAGTAACCAAGCAGGATATAAACAAGTAATATTCACAGATGACAGAGATTACCTTGCTACACGAAGGGGTGGCATCTTTACAACCCTTGTGTACATTTGCATTACAGTCTGAAATAAAGGAAAAAGATATATAAACATCCATCTTATGTAAGTTAATGTGAAAATGAGTAAGACTATATCATGCTTTTACCGGTCATCATAAAAATAACATCTAGACATTACAAATATTTAGAAAACTTAATTAAGAAGGAAAGAAAAATATTTAAATCACATGTAGCTCCATCACTCAAGCACAAGCACACTGTTGATATTTTAGTTTTTTGGAGATGTTTTTTTCCCTTTCTGCACCTGGTCTTATCCATTAAACCTGAAATTATGCATGAAATATACTTCTGTGACATTTCTGTGTCTGCCTGAGAACTCATTCCCTATTATGTGTGCTAAACCATAAGAGACCCCTGACACCTGGCTGGCAGCAACCTTCCGCTCCCATACCAGGTAAGATGCCTATGATATAAAAAGAAAGAAAATGAACTCAAAACAATGCTGAAAAAAATGTATCGTCAAGCTGCCGCAGGAATTCCCACTAACTGGAAGTTTGAAGTAGGCAAATTAAATGAGAAAAGTTGGCCCTGTGCCCATGTTCTATGTCATAAAACAAGGCGCCTCATCTCACTGGAAGAAGGTAAGGGAATTCTCTCCCTGTCCCTCTTTGCCGACGGGCAGGGAGACCCAGGCTGTCCTCACAGAAGGGCGTGCAGTGTGGGGCTTGCTTCCTGCCAGGGTGTCATCTTCTTGCCCCCTCTCCCGTCCCGCCCCACAGCCCCTATCCCCACGCATTGAATCACGGACGGAGGAGCCTGGGTGAATTAGAAACTTTTGTAGAAGGAATTCTTCTGTAAAGAAAGAAGATCCCATTTAGGTCCATTGAAGCCACGATGGGTAAGTACCAAAGACCCACCGAGACCAGGGCAGGAAGCTGAGCCCTAGAACGGCCTCCAGCTGCAGGTCTGAGGAGGCCTTTAAGCTAACACCTCAGTGGCCAGGGAGCAGGGCCTGAGGCTACTCCACCTACTGGCCCTGGTGGTAAACATTGAAGTTAGATGGTTTTTTTTCCTCATTCCGCAACAAGTAAATAAGGGGAAAAAGTAGAAGCTATGAGATACCACAGAACAGTTACACTGAAAATTCACTGGAAGAACAAGCCGCTGAATACTAAATCCAGACACAGAAAATTTAGATACTGGAAAAGTATGCTCCATAAGAAACAGAACACAGAGCTTCAATAAAATAGACCAAAAGGCCATGAAGAGAGAACAGGATGTGAATGAAATGAGGCCAACAGGATGAGAGGAAAATAGAGCTTTGTGAGACAAGCAAGGCCTGCAAGGAAGCTAATGGGCAAGAGCAGAATCTCAACTGAACTGAGAAGAATCAGTGTGAGAAAGACACTAAAGCGGGGCTATGAACTTAAACTTGAAAGATTCCCTCCAGAGTGCGGAGAAGACAGAATTATACAATAGAAGACGTCAGACAAAGAAGACAGATAGCATAGATCGCACTTATCCAAGGAAGAAACCACAAAAATTAGATCAGAAGCAAGAACAGTCAAAGCTACAACAGACAAGAATTTTAAAAAGCTGAAAAAGCACTCAAAAAGGAAAATCAAAAAGGTCTCACTGTTTTCTAAGAAAAATAATTAAATGAGCACCTCTTCTATAATGACATCCTGAAAATATCCATATGATTAAAAAACTAAAAGTCCTAAAGTACCTAGGCAGATAAAAGGGGTTGCCAACAAAAGAGTAAGTCAAGCAGGCCGTAGACTTCTCCACTAACTACAATAGTAAATGCCCAAATATATCAGACCAATGCTAACAGAGTACTACAGGGAAAGGATTTTGGCCCAAGAATTCATTTAGCTACGTAAGTTGTTTCTCTTATATGAAGGAAGCAATGATATATCCTTAGGTAGATAAGATTTCAGATCAACAGATCAATCTTATTTTAGGCTACTGAGATCAGAATCAAAATTAAGGGTTCAAAAATGGATCAGCTATAGTAAAAACAAAAAAGGAGTTAAAGTGGAGCAGTAAAACAACTAATCAAAGAATCATATCTAAAAAATTATTGTACACATAGACACAGAACTGAATAAAAATGTTAACTTTTTTTTGAAACAGAAATTTATCCTCGAAAGATTAGACATACAATGTAAAAAGAATAATTTAATAATTAATTCAGTATACTAACAGAGCCAGGGAGTAAGGGTAAACATAAGGGAAATAAAAGAGTATTAAATTCTAGCCTTATACAGTCTTAAAGCAATTATTAGTTGATATTAAAAGATCATATCTTGCCAAATCCCTGGAGAAGATAAAAGCAAACAATACGTGGTCTAAATAGCTATATCAGATATTAAGAAAAATAGCAAGGAACTATAAAAGATAGTTGGTAGTTGTAAAATTAAATATAAATTTTTAAAAACCCTTGTTATAAAACAAGGTCTTTCAGTTACATTAGAGTACCTTTAGCTAAATTAAAGACACACACCCCAAATCAAAAACACAGAACTAGTTAAGGGAAATATTAATACACTTAGTAGGAACAAGAAGAATATTAAGGTTAGACAAAGTCAAATTCAATGCAAAAGGCATAAGGGCATTACAAGGGTAATTTTATTTTGATTAAAGTTAAACCTACAATGACAGTGTGATTTGTAAACTTCTGTGTACCAAATAATGTAACATCAAAATATAAGCAATGAAACCTATTTATAAACATGGAGAATTTGATAGAAATATAATTTGTGGACAATTAGCAACTCAGGCTTTAATAGAGGAAAAATGTCCAGGATTTTGAATATTTATATGGTATCATGTGTAGTTTTACATCTTATCACGTTTTTAAGATTAGAAATATTAACCTTCACAATTAAAAACAAAAATACACCCATGGAATAGGATTACTTACCTAAAACAGCAGAGATTGTACATGTCATATTTTATTTCTCCATGTAAAAAAAACTTAATATTAATAAGCAAAGTTTAAACCACAAATATCCCCGCTGAAAAAAAAGCCTGTAAATCTTAAAGCTCCTTCTCTAAAAATTGTGAGTTAAAGAGGAAATCAAATGTACACTTTGAGTCACTCACACTGATTCAAGAATTTAATCTGGCCAGGCCAGGTGGCTCACACCTATAATCCAAGCACTTTGGATGGCCAAGGGGGAAAGATTGCTTGAGGCCAGGAGTTTGCAACCAGCCTGTCCAAGACTGTCTGTACAAAAAATTTTTAAAATTAGCCAGACGTGGTGGTGTATACCTGTAGTCCCAGCTACTTGGAAGGCTGATGCAGGAGGATTGCTTGAGCCTAGGAGTGTGAGATTACAGTGAGCTATGATAACCCCACTGCACTCTAGCTAGGGAGATAGAGTGAGACCTTATCTCAAAAAACAATAAAAAAGAATTTAACCTAAGCCAATGATCAAAGATGTGGACAGTGGTATGTACAAAAGAATGCTCACATTGCCACATTATTTATGCTGTGAAAAAATTAGGAAAAACTTAAATATGTAATAATAAATATGTTTGATGTTAGCATAAATGAAACATTAGCATTAAAAGCTGATATAATTTTTTATGGTTAGCAGGGACTCCACCAAAATACTAATAGCAATTTCTTCTACGTGGTAAAATTTTGAATAATTTTAACTTTCTCCTTAAATTTTTAATCTTCTATGAATACTATTTTTTTAAAAAAGCAATGACTGTTTTAAAGCTAAATATATCCTAGGTAATTTCAGCAATTTCTATCTTCCACTACAACCTCCGACACAATCCACCTCATCAACTCAATATGATCCAATGTATTCTTTACTGCGAAAGTTTAACTTTCAGTGGGCTCTCACTCCCTGGGCTTTGTTAGCCGTCAACCACCCATGAGTGCTGAAGCTGAATCTATGAGAGCTGCTGTAGGGCCTACATAAGAGTCATTATAAGATTATAGTCCTTAAGACACTCAAAGTCTATGTTAGTAGTTAAAGCTCAAACAGATTGTACATAACCCAGTACTAAAACAAAACAGGATAAATAGTTCATAAAAGTGATGGGCAGGAATTTGGGCCACAGTGGTCAGGGAAGACCTCCAAAGAGGAGGTACAATATTTGATCCACTAGAGGAGTAGGGGAAACTGAGAGAAGGGAGATCACCACAAGCAAAATGGCAGAGTCCAGAAATCACCTGCGGCCTGAGGAAAGGGCAGCAGCCTGACACAGCCTCACCTGTACACTAAGGCTGAAGAGGCAACGAGGGACCAGTTAGCAGGTCACAGATGAGGGACCTGAACACCCATGGGAAGAACTCAGGCTTAGCCAGTAAACACAAGAGAGAGAAGCCCTTACATTCACGTGGGCTGATGAACATGGTGTTTTACAAAGATTAATGTGGTCAAAGTATTGATCATTTATTGCATGTGAAAACACCTGGAGAGAGGGAAACTACACCATTCACTCTCAGCAGTCCAGCAGGTGGTGATGAGAATCTCCCAGAGTGGTGACAGTGAGAAGGGAAAGGACAGTGACCAAATGACACTGACTAGGGGGCAGGGAGGGAAAGGAAAGTGGAAGTGACATGTCCAAAGTTGAAGCTCATGGTGCCATTAACACAAGCAGGAAGGTACCCTTTTGCATGTTGATTTTGTGGTCAGTTTCAAACATGTTGGGTCTGGGAGACAGTGAAATCTCTGGGTGATGATGTCCACATGTAGGTCACCCTGGGAGCCCCTGCACCTGCGACAGTCTTGGTTCATACCTGTTGTTCTACCATAATTCTCAAAAGTGGCCTTAAATTACATGGTGCTCAGCCTCTAGACAACTGGGAATATAGAAGTATAAAGCGAGGGATGAAGACATTCATCTGCAAGGAATAGGTCTGAATATGGTACTTTAGAATATAAGACTAGGTGACCACACTTAGAAACAATAAAGAGAAAATGAATAAATGCCCAGGAATTAAGTTTGAAGGGCACCTAGAGTTAGGAAACAGGAGAAAACCCAGGTGGTAGAACAGCAGAGGAGCGTGCCTTGGAAAAGAGGAAAGCACTTGCCTGAAAGAAGGGATGTCAACATGAAAACAGGAGAGAGGCCAGTGAGTGACGAGGAAAGACCCTCGGATGACTAGAAAGTGACCCAAGTATCTGTCAAAAGCAGAATTTCTGTTAAGTATTATGGATAGACGCCAGAATGCAAATGGCGAATGAAGAAGTGGCAGGAACAGGTATTAAAGCAGGGAATGGGGGGGGCAGGGGCAAGATATGTAACCCTAACAATATTTGTACCCCCATAATATGAGGTAATAAAAAAAAATTTTAAAAGCAGGGAATGGAGATTGTCCAACCCCAGGAGTCTATCATAAAAATAGGGGAGAGAATGTCCTTGGCTGTGGCTGGGGGCACAAGCAAAGGGGTCACGTCCCATAAACAAGGGTGAAGCAACAACTTACATGACATATGCCTACTGCACAGATAATCTGTGCTGAAACATAGCCCACCACACAGATAGCCTGCTCTGGGGTGTCGGCAAGCCAGGGACAAGCCACACACAACACTAAGAGCAAATCTCTAAAAATTGGCTAACTAAGCCACATGTGAGCAGCTTGATCCTATTTCAGATCCAGTGAAAGAAAGAAGTCAAATCTTCCAGGAAAGCAAAATTCAAACATGCGATAATTAAAGACAGTGTCAACTATAAGAAGAAAAGTCTTATGTGCTTCTAATGCCATGTGCAGATTATATTTTCATCAGATGTACAACTATAGATATAATATTTAAAATGTTTAATTCAATCATGTTCTAGGAATTTAACTAGGAACTTTACATGTAAGCTTCCCCTGCTCTTCTCCTCCCTTTGTGCTCTCATCCCAACTCCCAAATATTCCCCCAATTCTGGCTACCAAAAAAGACCATGAATTGCACCTGTCTGGGCCTGAATTCTTTTTCTCTGAATCATTCTTTCATTCAATAAATATTTACCAAGTACCTACTATTACCAGACATTGTTCTAGCCACTGTGGATACAGCAGACAACAAATACAACAGACAAAAATCCAACCGCTGTAGCACTTATGGTGAAGGAGACAGACCACAAAATCAATATGTAAGATGTATACTAAGTTAAATGGTGATAAGGCAGAACAGCAAAGATGCCAGTGAGGCTGGAGCAGAGGGAACAAAGGGGAGAAGGGGTGGAGGGGACAGATCATGCGGGGCCTTGCAGCTACTTGGGGGAAAGGGAGCCACTGGAAGATTTTGAATGCAGGGATGTATGCCTTGACAAGCTCACTGTGGCTGATGCTTTGAGACTTTAACAGACTTTAGGGAGTTAAAAGCACAAGAAGACCAGTTGGAACACTGTGGAAATGATGGCTTTAGACCAGAGTGATAACAGTAGAAGGGGTTACAAGTGGCTGGATTCTATATGTTTTTTAAAGAAGAGCCAAGTGGATTGCTGATGGACATAGGATGTAAGGAAAACAGAGGTATAAAGATGTACTCCAAAAATTTCTGGCATGAGCATCTGGTTGGAATGATGGAGTCGCCATTAACTGAAAGATCAGCTTTCAGGTGAGCACAGGAGGCGGAGGTCAGGAGCTAGGTTTTAGATACATAACGTTTGAGATGTTCTTGAGACATCCAAGTGGAGACATCAAGTAGCAGTGAGGTATACAAGTCTGAGGTTCAGGGAGGCCATCAGTGATGGATGAAATGTACCAACAAGTATCAGTCATTGCTGGGTAAACTGTTCAATCCTGTGTCTGGCACTAGAAAGGAAGTTTATGTAAATGTATTTAGCAATGACTTCATTCTCAGGAAACTCACTGTCTGAGGGGACAAAATGCAAAGACAGCACACACTAGACCTGAGAACTTACTGGAACACTGGAATGACTCTTTCCCCAGGAGTGTTTTATCACAAACCGAACACTGGAGAACCCCAGAGAATGTTCCTGGGACAAACTGATGTCGATTCAGTTTCTCTTTGTCTTTGGCATCCTTGCTTTTTGTCTTCAGATACAGCAGCAGCAGCAGGAAAGTGGGGGGAAATAATAAAAGGGAAATGCCATGAGCCAACCTTATTATAGAAGTCATATAAGCAAACTCTCTCTGTTTTCTGTCAGAATATAAGGCTGCACACTGGGAGCACAATGACACCAAAATGTAATATTCCCCAAGATATAGTTGCCCTAAATTTCTAATGACGTGGACAATATTCCATAAGAAATTGGTGCACATGAAATCTAAAGTGATTTTAAGGGGAAAGTGGAAACTATATTAATTGCTGAGAAACTAAGCCATTTATGCTTTACAGAAAACAGGTGCAGAATCTTAATTACCTTAGATTTATTCCGAGGACTAGTCATCCTGTTCATGAGGAAGCTGAAAGTTCTGCTTACTTTATATTTCTCAGATTCTGATTTTGCAGGTATGATGTATTTATCCCATTCTTCTTCCTGAATTCTACAAAAAAGAATATGTTATCATGGCTTATAGGACCTAAAGAGGAAGCAAAGAACAGCATATATATATATATATGTGTGTGTGTGTGTGTGTGTGTAAATGTGTGTGCATATATATATATTTTCAGTTTTTAATGTTTGTTCTAAAGAGAAAGAAACTCTCTGTTAGAAATATACCTTATAGATGGATGGATAGGTGAATAGACATGTGATAAGGCAACTATCTCACAATGTTAACAATTGTAGAATCTAGATGGTAGGAAATGAGTACTCAGTACACAATTCTTTCAAATTTTCTGTATATCTGAAAATTTTTGTAATAAAATATTGGGGAAATAAAGAAAATCTTACACTTACAATTTTATGCTGAAAACACTCATCTTCCTATTTACTATGTTAATAGAAATTTCCTAGGGCACAGAGAGCCAAATAAACAATAATATGAAAGTAGATTTTATTTGTTTTGGGAACACAGAGATAACACTCAGTAGACACATATTTCCTTTGTTGATAAAGCCTGAGAAACAGACCGTCTGCCTCTTGGTTCAGTCTCTCCCACTCAATCAGGCTATTTGCAATCTGAGACTTTCTAGGTTGTAGAGAAGAGAAGGCTGTGGATGATCCCCCAAATAAGAAGCAAGCTAGAGGTAACTGTACCCAATCCATGAATATACTGAACATCATTTATTTTATTCTAACCCATCTAATCATGGTCTAGGAAAAAAAAAACACAAACTGTGAATTATATTTCCCCCTAGAGCTCCCTCTAATAATCTCATATTTCTAACATTATTACTGAGAGAGAGAGAAACGTATTAAAAAAATCAACCTAAGTGTTATATCAAACCAGATATCACTTTTGTAGATTATTTTGATAATGAATATTTCCTAACTAAAGTCTCTCCTACTCCCTAAACTTCTCAATTTTCAGCTTTCGTGGCTAACACATTTAACTCTGGGAAATATTTAAAAGCAACCATATTATTAATATATACCAAAGTATATATGATTACATTTTATAAAAATGTTCCTTTCAATGACAACTCTCTAGGACTTCAGCTTTTTTTATCTAATTAATGGCAGGCTTAAATTATTTCAAAAACCCCTTCCCACATTTTAATATGCACTTACCTAGTATACATGATAATAAAAATTTAAGTTATTTAAACTCTATATTAGGTACTGTAGAGTACAAACCTAGGGATTCATTTAGAAAAAAATAACCAATGGCTTCAGAGCTGCCTCTTGACCTTGAAGATCTAAAGCCATAGACAGGATAGTGTGTGTCCTGCTACTCAAATCCTGTACAGTGAACCATATTGGGTTTACTCCCTAGAGAAAACATTTGAAAAGTTAGAAGAAAAAGGAAGTGAATAGAATTGAATATACCCTATGAAGACAGAGAGTACTGAAAGGACCTCAAACAAAAGTTTCCTTTTCCCTTTCATACCAGCTCTAGTTATTTTTGCCTAAGATAACTGGACTGGTTAATATAATCTGAAATTTCCCATAGCCTCTGATTCTTAGCCATCCTAATCTGAGTAACTCATATCATAACATTCAGTAGGATCACTTTCGTAATTTGAGAGCTTGGAAGGAATCCTCTCATGGAATACCTTCTGTGACCCCCACCAAATGCAACCCAGTGTCTAAGAGAAGTATGGAGAAGAGACCTAAATCTCAGAATTTAAGAATGGTCAGGTCAACGTGGATCTTGAGGTCAAGAAGTCTCTACCCTACTTCCCAGCAGGAACACAACCAAACTGTCCCAAATAAGAAAATAAGTATTGGTTACCCAACTCTACTCCCAATTCCCCTGTTACAAAAGAGTGTATCAAGAACAATTTCTGTTTTGATCCAAAACCTATAAATGCACTACAATTTACCATATATCCTATGTACTTCTACAAAACGATGTAAAACCATACCATTTAACCTTTTAAACTCAAAGTTGGTAAGACCTGAGAGATAACAAAGTAAACATAAAAATGCTGAAACACTAAATAATAAAAACTGAGAGCCACCACCTAACCTAGTAAATGTGATCCACTAACAGATTATGAGAACAGGTAACACTGTATAGCCTCTGGGCAAATGTAGAAGGTTGATTGATTCCATGTTTCAAATCTAATTGAACTATGTGGTATTCATATATATATATATAAAAATTAGGTACTTTAGACAGAAACTGAGAAAAGAATAATCCTCAACTTATTTCACAATAAAATTTAAATAGCTTTTAAATTTATAAGAATCTGGAAAAATTAAGTTTTTTCCAACATCCCAGAACAAAAAGGTCCAATCTCTATTATTAGTTTGATAAGCAATGGAATCACTCACAATAAACTTTTACAAGTCCTATTCTTCTCCTGATATTTCCTTTTTAATAGGTAACAGGTATTTAAAATATATTAAGAGGAATATGGATCCTCAATATTTGAATCCTTAATCTATTATATATTTATAACCTTCTATTTTTTAAATAACTGAGCATCTAAAGCATTAAAAGAAGTTTCTACCATGCAAATTGAAAATCAACACAGTGGAAGTTCTTTAAACACTCAGATACTCGAATTTAAAAATAAGAGGAGGAGGAGATGGATGTAATAGACTCAAGGTAGATGGTGACAATAAAATAACTGAGTCATTCCATACAATCTTTAAGAAATTGGAATAGACAGATTGTCTGCTTAAATGAGCCTGTAGTGAGTCCCCTTTTACCTGGATGTATCCTTTTCTAGAAACTCAGTGATTAATATAAATAACAAAATTTCAAAGAAGACAATTCCCTAGGTAACTATCCACAACATGACCAAACAAAAGCATTAGGTATAGCTGGGAATTTTATTGGCATATCCAATAAGATATCAAGAATAAAATAGGTGGGATGAAAGATCCACTCTACTAGATACATCTAGGGATATGATAGAGAGAGTCAGATGCTTTTGGATATAGACCAAGAAAGATTAAAGAATAAAAAAGAAAAAACCCCAGGAGGGATAGAAAATGAAGAATCAGAGAGAAAGTGACTCCATATATATCCTATTCAAGTTAAAATATCTTATAGGTGACTATTTAACCTAGTATGACATTGGCTCCTCCAGTAGTAAATCTTTCTACTAATGGAAAATAAGTATTTTTCACTTTTTAAAAATCTTTATAATCAGTCCATTACTTCTCTAATTGTTAAAAAGATGGCAGGGAGAAGACTGCTAAGCAAAATGATGACAAAGATGATGATTAATTTCCTGAATTAGGAAGTAAATTGCTTAAATGAAGTAATAAATGTAGGCTGCTTGGAATAGTACAAGGCACATGCAAACATCCAATAACTGTCAGTTACTATTGCTTCTGATATCATCATCATCATCATCATCATCATTGTCACTGTCACAATGTCATCATCATCCTAAGTTTAAGGGCATTCTTAGTCTTCATCTGTTTATATTATTTGAAACTTTCTAGTTTCAAAAAAAAAAAATAGAAATGAACCAAAGGAGGCTTTTTCTTTATTCACACTTTTATTCTGAGATTTAAAATAAAAAGTTCATCTCGATCTATATATTAAAAGGTTTCAGAGTTTTAGCATTAATATCAGCAAAATTCAACTCCATTTTACTCTTTTTCAGATGGTCTCTTAAAACCCAAACATTTTTGCCATTTCTGGCACTTGTTTTGCACATAACCCCAGGGCTATTTCACAGTGTGACGCATGAACAGTTAGTTATTCATTCAGGACAGAGAGAACCCAACGATCAGGCTTGCACACTATTCTGCTTCCCAAGCTTTATTCCAGGAACCATTTTACTTCATAGGAAAAAAAGAAGCTTAGGTGGCAAGGTTTTAAATCTGCATATCATCCAGGAAACTAATCATGCTTGAAAGTATTCTGCATTGTGTATTCTTTGTTTCAAATTGAACACTGCTAAGCAAGAATCCATAAAGAGAGACTCAGGGGCCTGTTACTGGGTTAAGTCCTCTTGTCGTGGCAGAACAGCCCTGGAGAAAACCTGTTGCTTTTCTAAAGCACGTGATCCTCACATTGCTCCCCCTGGTCCTGTACATGGGAGGTATCTGACTTTGAAAATAACCTAAAATAGAGCATCCTGTCCCCAGTCCTGAGGTTTGCATTCCTGAGGACTGAAAGGAGAGGGCTGGGAGGTCTGTGCTGATACAGATCACACAGGGAGCAAAGGGAAACTACTCACACAATATTAAACAGATATCAAGAACAATGTACAGACATTTCCAAAGATGGATCAAGAAATCCCTCAGAAAAATTAAAACAGTTAAAGTACCTTTTCTCTCCTGGTGGCTCCGGCAAGCTGTAAGCTCTTTGCTCTATAAGATACAGAACAATAAAATGAAAACTAAGGCAGACAAACTATCAATCACATGTTAGTCTGAAATGCACACACTCAACCTTATTTTTCATTATATGCTTCACACTACTGGTTAGAAAAAAATGAGAAAACGAGTAATCTTATTTAAGTAGGGCATTGCTCTGGATATTTTTATTACTTTTCCTAGTTTGGAAACGAGGAGGAGGCGGCAGCCAAAATATGGCAACATCTAATGACTTTAAGAACTAAGTTAGCATCAGCAAGGGACAGCAAACATTTTCAAAATAGCAGAAAATTAGGTCTGTACTTTTCGATACTTTGCACCAGAGCTTCATCCCTTATTCAGAACTCTAATCCCCCAACGTACAGAATCAGTCACTATCTTAACTGCTTTTTAGCAAAGCTCAAAGGAAGAGTCTTGAAGGCCAGCATAAGAGAGTCCATTTTGATATAGCTGCAATGCCGTTATAAAATCCTAGTGGCAGCAGGTTCAGAGATGTGCTTTGTGGCTCGTGGGAAAGGGAGAACCGCCTTTCCCATTGGGCTGGTGGTGGGCAGAAGGGCAGGCTCATGCAAGCAGCTTAGCGCCATCTTGTTTGGAGAATGGGGTACTTACTACGGGGATGGAGCAGAGACACTGAGCTAGACAGTGAGAGAGACTGAAGGAGGGAACGGCCACTGTGGAGCACACCATCTACAGAGCAGGGACAAATTCTTTACCATTACAATCCACAACAGTGAAGGGGCAAAAGTAGGTTGCAAAGGGAAATGGACCAGACATATAAGGATGAAAACAAATAAATATCCCCTGAAATGTGTAGGTATCAATGCTATACCTAAAACTATCTTGTATGTAATAGAAGATCCACTCTGAAGAATGTGAAGGCTTTATTTTATAGCCATTATTAAATGTCCCTTAAATTAAGTCCTAGGCAGAAATCCTTATTCTTATTGTAAACAGGCTGAGGTACCAAGAGAATAAGCCACATATCCTGGATATATTGAGCTACAAATATAGCACATATCCAAGCTGTAAATAGAAGAGACTCAAGCAACCGGTCAAAATCTAATTAATACTTTTCTATCTATCAGTTCACAGTAACCATCGAAAGCATGCTTACTTCACTCCTCAAATTCTTAAATGTAGAACGTTTTTGACCATAGGCTGCAATTGCATTTTAATATTGATAATGTTCCTTTCTGTCTAAATCCACAATGTACCATAAAACTGGATATTGTTTTATGTTTACAAACATTGAATAATAAAGTTGCCACCATTGTACTCTTGGCTCCCCCCCCCCAAAAAAAAAGCCACAAGAAATGATAGTAATCTTTCGGAAGTGACAAAGACGAAAGAACATCACAAATAAAAATGACTGAAAAAGCACATTATCTTTGTATATCTGGGATACAGCTCATAAATGGGAGCTGCCCACTGAGGCAAAAGGAAACTTGGCCTCTGTTCAAATAGTAAAACTTTTCAGGACTATTGAAAACTCATCAAGAGAGGATTTACAGCAACACAAATGTCAATTTACTTTTTATCAATCTAAGCAAACTAAACAATGAAGCATTAGAATATATCTTTGAACTAGGCAAGCTTTCACACTTGTGCTTTGATTGCATAAACATACTTTAAATTATCTCTTCTTCATCAGGAGTTATTCTTCATAGCCCTATGGTTGTGGCTGACCTAAATGGTATCAATCCAAATCTTTGCAACCATACAGTTCTATCCACTGGAATCTTTGTATATTTAGTGTATAGCCTCAATGCAAATTGCCTGGTTGTAGCTATTAACTTCTGGATAATATCAAACTTCATCAAAATAGCAGTGTCTTTAAATATATGGTCTAAAGACAAAGTTTTATTTACTGAAAAACGAAAGGAATTGATGTCACCTTTTTATTCTTTTTAACTCAAATGAAAAGATTGAAGGTTTATATATAAGACAAAGATATCCTTCCTTGTTTATCAAAGAATAAATAAATTAGAGCTCTTTTGCCTTGTAAAGAATCAATATCCTCTCAGTGATCTGGTTAATAATTTCAAACTTTAGAGCCATCTGGCTTCAGAAGTCAGGGACACCACAGATATAAAGGCAAGGCCATCATTTTGCACATTATACAGGAAACTTAAACATGTTTTCCAAATACTACCAGTGTAAAGTTAATTCACCAGGTAGGACTATCAGTGAAAAGATAACAAACTGCAATTAAAAGGAATCTCAACCTAAACTAAGGCTGGGAAGACCTGGAGACCCCAAAAAGGCTCATGAAATGAAAAGCAAAAATCCAGAACAAATTCGATTTATCTTCTTTATCCTGTTCTCTCTCAAGGTGGTTGTAACCTTTCTTACTTTCTCTTAGAACTGCTTTCTAACTTCTCACTCCAAAATATAAACTGACATTTATTATGAGTCTTGCTGTCTTCTCCGCTAATAACATATCCCAGAAAAGGGGGGGAAAACATATAGTAGCATTCTTTTGTATTTTATGTATCTTGTCTATCATATTCATTCAACAAATATTCATTAAACATCTACCATATTTAAGACCTCATTTAGGATGGCAGTTCCAAGCACAAAGATTATGTTTTTGGTATTGTTACACATGGCATAAACATACAAAATAATAATAATAACAATGTAATAAAGCAAGAATAAGGAAAAAGAGAAGGAGGAATAAAGTAAACCTCATTTTAATCACTGTATATTGGGAAACTGAGAATACCCAAGCACATCTCTTGCTTTCTGAATCTTTTAAGACTGTTTAGGATAATTGAAAAGAAAGGCATCTAATACATTAACAAAAATTTTATTATAATGCTATGTATTATATATCAGCATGAATACTTTCAAATATGCCTTTATATGTAATTATTATATACTTTTATTATTTCATACTCTCAATACAAAAAGTATGAAATAATTACATTTTAAAATATAGTAGAAAATGGGTGCAACCGCTGAACATGGCTACAGGTGTAGCTAGCTGTAAATTATACTTAATTATTCTATTTATAAATCTGAATTCACTTGAAAATCCATTAGCCTATATGCTTATGATATGCATCCTTTTATATATTTACTATATTAAAATTAAAAATTTATTGTATAAGAGTTATATCTCTAGTTGTTTACATTACCACAAAAAATGTTGAGATATATTTACTTGTGTTGCAAGTATGTTATTTCAACTCTCAAAAGTCCCTTGCTAAATAAAGAAAGAAAAAAAATCCATTTTGCAATACTTTGGCTCTGAGGAATTGAATTATTGCAGCAATTTATATATATAGGACAAAAGTAATTTATATAATTTACTTATATGAAATCCTCTAAAGCCCTCACAATAATGTATGTAGAATCAATTCTAGTTTACACTATACTTGAGAAAAACATTTTATTCAAAGAATAAAGCACCAGAGAGGTGTGTATATATTTGTAATTTCATCAAACTCAAATCTATAACCTGACTGATATCCAATGAGAAAAGAATTTTTCCAAGCTTAAAAAAATCAACTATGAATACAGAATTGAAAATTCTTGCCTTCTGTTCTTGTATATTTTATGTACTTATACTAACTGAAAATCTGTTGTGGAATAGAATGTTTTCAAAGCAAATGGTAAATAATGCTCACCTTCACTTGAATTGCACACTGTAAAATCACGCACCAGCTGAGCTTTTCCTAAAGAAATTTTGGGTGATGAGCAGGAGTAGGAACGTGAGCGGACTCCAGAAAGCAATGATTCCTAAAAGTGATCAAAATAAAGTTAAAAAAAAAATACAAACTACATGAGACTTGAAAGTGTGTGTTCACCCTGAATGTTACCAAATGAATGTCAGCATCTTTGAAAGAAGATTCAACTTGAACATTTCTAACATGATTTTATTAATTATTGGTTTCTGTCTGCCTCTCATAACTTTGAAAATGTTATTGTCTTTTTAATGCTTTAGCAAACTTGTATTTTCGGAAATAGTTGCTATATATACATGAGGATACAATTATGATATTCTAATCAATTTGGTTAAAAATGAAAAATTATGTCCAATGACTTTTTCTCTACATACTCAACAATGATTTTGACTTATTTGTACCTGAGTTGTTATTTTGTCATTTTATACTGTAGCATTCAAACAAAATTCTGTATTAACTGAGACCTCTATATTTAACAATCATCAGAAGGTAGAGAAATAGCCACTTATAATTGTAAGAGTTTTTAAACTTCCAAATACCTACATAAATTTATAGTGTTAGCTGTAGACTCTGGGGAAAAGGCGCCCAATCGCTATACAAATCTTTCTGCTCTGTGCTCATTTTTCAATAGAACTTCCATTTGGCACTTCCTGAGGTGATGTTTGAATATCACTGATTTATATATCTTTAATATCATTCCTTTTAAATGACCTGCCATTTTTGTTCCTGTTTTCCCAATTACATATTATTTCTATTATATTGGCAATATACATGAAAAATGCAAGATGGCAAGATCATTAAAACATGGTTTTCTTACATGTTCCAGAAAATTTTAATGAATATGCAATAGAACTGCCTTAAAGCCATTAATGGTACCCAACTCCTATCCCATAAATGTCTTAGGATTGATCCTGCCCAGGTATTTTTCAGGTATCACTTAAAGGCTAAAAGAAAATAATGCAAATTCTTTACTAAAATTAAGACATCAGAAACTGTCCTTTATAAGCACTGGTCTCTTCTGTTCCCCGTAAGTGAAGATGCATGGTTACCCTAAGTTCATTGGTTTAGTTAAAGAGCCTAAAGGAAAGTAGAACATAGAAACCTGACCTTGTTTCAAAGGGCCTTGGGCTATGGCTCTCAACTGTCTTATCAGGGAGCACTCACCGCCCGGATGTCAAGTCCAGCCTGAGCTGTCATATAACCCGGACAGTGAGCTGGCCACAAAGGGCCCTAGCCAATGCCATCCTCTCCATTTAAGTCATTTACGGTAATCATTTTTTCATGACAATGGAATGTTGAAAATTGTCCAAAACCCTTTGAGAAAAAGTTATACTAGGTAATAACAGAGGCAAGGCAAGATATATTTATAGGACAGATTCTTATTAAAAGTGAGCAACATGAAACTGTTTCACAAAAACTAAATTATTTTTCATGTAATGAAATAATGATGAGTGTTTCACAATTCCATTCAAAATGCAAAACTAAGAAGTGTCTACATTAACAACTGTACCCATTTCTTATTGTCTAGAAATAGCACATGACCTTTAGGTTGGAAAGATTATGACAGCTCTACAGGCTGAGGGGAAAAGGACCCACGATCTGTGGTCAGAAGACCTAAATTTGAGTTCCAACTTTATCACCAACCTGGACAAAACTCTATCTTTTCCAGAACCATACCTGCTCAAGATATCAAATAAAAGCACTACTTGTGTTCCAGGCAAGTTATGAGAAAATCATATATTTTGTATATTTATAAAACACATTTTATATATTTTAGAGCATGCTATAAAAAATAAGGCATTATCATAACAACTATGTGTTCATAGTAAGAGAAGTTTGGCCACAGCACACATTGGCACACATACAGAAGTAAACTTAACTAAATAAACTTAAAAAGAAAACAAGTGTGGGCCGGGCGCGGTGGCTCACGCCTGTAATCCTAGCACTTTGGGAGGCCGAGGCGGGCGGATTGCTCAAGGTCAGGAGTTCGAAACCAGCCTGAGCAAGACCCCGTCTCTACCAAAAATAGAAAGAAATTAATTGACCAACTAAAAATATATATACAAAAAAAAATTAGCCGGGCATGGTGCCACATGCCTATAGTCCCAGCTACTTGGGAGGCTGAGGCAGAAGGATCGCTGAGCCCCGGAGATTGAGGTTGCTGTGAGCCAGGCTGATGCCACGCCACTCACTCTAGCCTGGGCAACAAAGTGAGACTCTGTCTCAAAAAAAAAAAAAACAAAAAAAAAACAAAAAACAAAAAACAAAAAAACAAAAAACAAAAAAAAAAAGAAAACAAGTGGACAATAACAGAAATCAAATAAAAAGAAAACATACATCAAACATAAAAGGGTTTTCCTTGTAAGATTTGAACAATGTATTTAGTTTAAAAAAAAAAGAAAAAAGCACAACAAAGTGAAACTCAAATGTGAAACTGCTAACAGGAGAAAACCTGACTCCTATGGAAAAGTTGTCAAAGTTTATGATGTTCCAGATTAGTTCACACGGCTAGGAATGCTTAACATCACCTCTACCTTACTAACACCTCATTACCTGAACCAAGTAAAAATTTATGTGAGCAAAACAAGTTCGATCACTTAAGCTCATTTAATACTACCAGTTTTTCTCCCTTTAAGGGATGATGGTAGAAATTATTGTATAAAATGGTAAAATTTTCTGAGTCTGTAAAAGATAGTATGTACTCATGGTAAATTAATGAAAACATAAAGCAGCCACTATAGGACTATAAGGACTATAAAAATTAAAACAGAGTAGGAGAGATTAAAAAAACAGACTCAAGCAGATATCATATGAGTCTCCAAAAAAATAATTCATATGTGTGAATAAAACACAATTTGTCGTTTAGATAGAGAGGAATGGATTTAAACAACATATTCTCCACATTTAATAATAAACCAAATTAATATCAATAAGAATACCTTTGACTGCAGATTACTTGACAGAGAAAGTGATTCAGCCCTGGAGATATTAAAATCCGGTTCCGCGTTGGCCTCAAAAGAATCCAATTCATCCCCACTAGGAAGCCCAGTTCTCGAAGAACTCTGAGACACTGGAGTGTAGCAGCTGTGTAACTGCTCAGAATGCCCTTCCCCTTCACTGTCAGCATCCAAAGCATCAAGGCTAGAACTAAAGGACAAGGCAAGTAAGTAAATAAGTAAACAATCAACCAAGAAAGCAGACAGACAGTCGCTGGTTTCTATTTCTCTGAATTCAGATTCTCTTATTGCTGTGAGGTATGATGGGTATTCATTTAATTTCCAAATAATATTTAATTCGCTTTTAATAATTTTTTCCTCCTTCCAAATCTCTTTTAAAACAAAACATTATATTCCCCAAATAAATATTTTTACCTAGCAAAAGCCATTTCAATTACCTTAAGAAAGGAAAGTCAGTTTGAGTTAGCACTAACCTCACCATTTCTGTTTTGTAAATGTAATTATTAGAAGTCCCCAATAGTAACCCTTTGAATATTTAAAATGCAGACCAAACAGCCACTGGGGGGATTTGCACATGAGAATATGCAGTGTGGCATTGTCTCCTGTGTCCCCCAGCTGGGGAGCTCAGGAGGGCAGGGCACACTAAGGAGAGAGCTGTGAAGGACTCACCTCAGACTTGTGTCACAACATAGTTCAGAAACAAGTCTCGCACAAGGGCCAAACATGCCATACTAAATTAACATTTGTAGAGATTTTTAAAAATGATTCCTGTGAAAAATCCACCTCAGAACCAGGTAGTAATTCTGCTTGACAACAACTTTTCTTTCCTCATTTAACTTTCATAACCATAAAATTAAAAGGAAAGAATTTGACCTTCTGCATTCCAGTTTCATTCCATAACATTACATTTTAAACCACACAAACCAACAGCTTTCATGGGCATGTTAATGCACGATACATTTCTAAATGTATTTTTTGTAGGTTGTTAACAGTTCTGGAGTTAAAATTTTAATAACAATATAATGAAACTATCTTAATTTTGAAATACAAAGAATCAGAAAATGAAACTTTGAATTAACTCGTTTGGGTTATTTTTCTTTAAAAGCCATAGGCTACTTAATGGACATAGAATATCAATTTAATAAACTATATGACTCTTAGAGGCCTTATTATACGTGCCTCTCATACAAACACTTAGATCAGTTTCCAATCCATGAACAATTTTATGAGCACTCCTGGGTACCAGAAAACCCTGCAGTACATAAACGCTTCAAGTGGTACCACTAAGTATTTCCAAAGTGGGATTTTTCTCCTTCAAGAACTCATGTAGGGCCCTTTACCTTGACATTGAGAAAAAAAGGACAAATTGGAAGTGGACTCCACACTTTATCTCAATCGAGCATCCAAATATCTTAGGATTCATTGGATTATTTTGCATTAAAAAAACTGAAACTTATTGTCAAGAAAACCTTCCTGATAAATGTTGGTGCTTTGAATGTTACAGAAATATAATCACAGGTATTTCAAGATGTTATGTAGTTTCCTAATACAATAAAAACCTGAGGGTTGAAGGACACATTAAGGGGAGGGCAAAACTTGCTGATGTCTTATCCTTCTGCATTTGTCTTTCAACTTGTGGTCTCTGTACTGATAAAAATTAGTTCTTTAAGACATTGGTGGCCTGCATTAACATCCTATTCTAGCACAAAGCTTTTCCAGTTACAGACAGCATTTCTCCATCGCTGTGAATGCATCCTAGAAGTACTAGTATTTTATTTTTCATTCTACAAAATATTTTTTCCTATTAATCAAATTAGGCTATAACTCTTCTTTGTTAGCTAATAACCTAAGATATTGGCAGCAAACACAATATTCTTCAGGATTATCTCCAGGTTCTCATTTTACAACAGTGTCTTCCTAAATCCCATTAGTGGGATATGAAATCAATTCATTAGGTTATACCCAGAATTCCCTTTTAAAATAACAAAGACTAGAAAATATCAGAATACATTCCACATGTATTTCATAGAACTTCACTTAAATTTTGTGGGAGTTGGGGGAGAGATTCACAGTGTATCATGCATCTCTCACTGTGGACTGTAGTAAAAACAAAGGCTTGAAAAATGCAAATTTTAGAATAAAACAAACACTTGTCTTTTATCACTTCATTTTTTTTTTTTTGTATAGTATTTTTAAATAGATGTTTTATTGCTTACTTTCCCCTTCTGGCTTCTCAAAACAGTAAATTTTAATAATATGTTACATATTGTGCATATTTTCATATCACCAACATATTGTCTTAAACCTCAGAAAAGTTAGGACTTAGATCCAAGTCAGCCTTGTCTTTATATTAATCCCCATTTTTATTGTATGCCCCCAAATGTCTCCTTCATTAGAAGTTCCCAGCCTCTCAGGCTATTATTCACTTATTAACAAATTAGGTGCATGTCACTTTTAGTTCATTATCAATTATGCTACACACTCCCACCCTGACATCCACTGACAGGAGAACCCACAGCCATATCAGAGCCAAGTGGGGTTTTCTGGGGATCAACACTCCTCTCCTCTCATTCCTATATTTTTCAGAGAAGAGGGAGCACACAGGAGATGAAATCAGCATGTGGGACCAGCCAAAAGGTTTTTCTACAGAATGGTTTCTCCTTCTCTTCCTTGTTTCCCCCTGAGCTGTGACATCTTTACATCTTTCTAATTACCTTTACTCAGAGTAGATCATTTTTCTTATATTCTAAAGAAGAAAAATTCTATCTATAGCAATGAAATGTTTAAACTTCCCAACTTCCCAAAGCAAGAGCATGATTGGAATTATATATATGTGTGTGTGTGTGTGTGTGTGTGTGTGTGTGTGTGTGTGTGTGTGTATAATTTACATACTCTGCAAATGTCTGAATAAGTAGAACAGAGACCATTTGTGCCTTTTCTGCCCTACATTTCTGGAGGGCTTCTTCTAAAAAATGTTATTTACTTCTCAAGATTGGAGGCTGGGGTCACATACTTGACAGATCTTAAAAATCCTGCCAGAATGTACTAATCACACATGGTTCAATCTATTTTTGCAGAACTGTATAGAATCTTGGCCAGCAGCTTCTTGTCCCAAGCAGACATGTGAACAATTCAAAATAGCCTATCAATTCAATTTATAGTAATGACCACCCAGCATCCACAAAACTAATTCACAATATATAAATCTAAAGTAAGTCTTTTACTATTTATGAATCAGACATAACACTTGATACCAATACCTATTACTTAAAGTTTTACAACCTCCAGTCGCATAGCAGTGCAAACTACAGCACAGTGATGGACACCTACTGATTGCCACTTCCTCTTTCTCTCCTTTCTAATAAATTAATTCTTTGCTTAATATTCATTCACCTATGTGTATGCTCATTTATAGATAAATATTTCTATACACATTCACATATGTGTATATATTCTATGGTCATTTGATTTATGATTTTATATGTGAAAATGAATGAAAGTGATAAATAGGATAAAATGAAATGATTGGAAATTGGCCTTTTCCCTAAAGAAAATAGACAGTAGAGTGAATGGACAAATACAGATATACAGGTATGGACACACACATTCATGCACACACACAAATATATGCAATCATATCAGATACAATGAAACTATTGTTTTAATGACATATTTACATATATAAGAAAATATATGTAAGGTAACAAAGTAAAATAAATATAATATAAATTTTATAATATAAAATAAATATATAAACAAAAGAATCCCCAGGAGCTCACCCACCTTGAAACTTGAACCTTGGCCGTACCACAGAAACTCTCTTATGGTCTACTCCATCCCCAGTCCCCTAATTCCCTCCCTAGATATAATAACTATCTTGAATTTATGGATTTTTTCCCTTTCATTTTCTTTTTTTCTTTATCATCTATGTGCTTATGTATTTGCCCCATAATAATATATTGTTTGATTTCATATTTTCAAAAAATGAAATCTAACTCAAGTATTTTATGGCTTTTTTTCAACTTTATGCTTCTGAGATCCATGCGATTAAGCATGTAAATATAGTTGTAGTTAATTCATTTTCATTACTGTACAGTATTCTATTATGTAACTATATATAATTTGTTCCACATTTGAGTTATTTCCCGCTGCTATAAATACTCATGTATACCTTCTACTACACAGGAAGAAAATGCATATTCAACTTTAGAAGATAATGTCAAATTATTTTCAAAGGTTGTTACACAATTTTCACTCCTATCAACTGTAAATAGTTTCCATTGTATGCATTCTCCCCAAAACATAGTTTTATTAGACTTTATAATTTTTGCCAAGTATAAACTGGCATCTCAGTGTGATTTTCCTCTGTTATATTTTAGTTGGTGTTAAGTGTCTTTACTTTCAAATCAATGAACATAGGTACCTAAAAGGGGACAATGTTTTGATATGGAGATAAGAATGGCGAGGACAATAAAAGGTTAAAAAATAGACTTTTCTGAGTCTAGCTATGGGGTTTTTTGTTTTTTCCACAGTTTTCCTCTAGAATACAGTATCTCACCTTCTTTTCTTTAGATGACTTTGTTCCTTTTCAAATCCATGCAGACCAAAAGAAAGATTCAAGTTGGAAGTGCATGAGCTAGATGGTGACATGAAGGATGGCTGGGATTCAATCTTCGCTATGTTTTCGCTGTTCTCACTTAGTGGGGACACCCCGGGTCTGGCTTCAGTAGGAAGGATGTGCTTGCAGCTCTGAGGCCCCAGAGTAGGACCCATGGATTCAGGGCTGGTGTTGGCAGTGAGTCCCTCTATATTAATATAGTTGATATCCAAATCACCAACCTAGAAGTTGAAAGAAAAATATTTCCTGAGAAAAATCAGGAAAGATTGGCTTAGCTAAGAATAAAATCTTTCCAGTTTAAGAACCTTCCACTTTATCTTTTTTTGTTGTTTGTTTATTCTCGTTTTGATTTATGTAAACAGATAATTCTTTCATGGTACATTTTGTTCACGTGGCTGCTATCCCATAATTCACAAAAAAGAAGACCAACTGTTTTATAAAGTTATTCTTTATTACAAAACTATGCCTCCTGACTCAAAATGAGGGGAAATGTTTTAAATACATAACCTTAACATTAACATTTCAAATATATAACATTTAAATAAATGCCTTTTGAGAAAAAAAGTAAAAAGTATATAGCTTTATTCAAAAAGCACTTCATAGTCATCCAGGTAACCAAGGTAATAGTGGTTGCATAAATTTGAATCTCAAAAAAAACACCACCAAACAACAACAACTACTAAAACTACATAAGGTACATGTACATAGCATAATTAGAAGACAGAAAATACCCCAAACTTCAAATTACCTGTAAATAATGAAATAAACATCAAATCCAACAAAGCAACCCCTCATACTCCTGCCATAAGACGGCAGAGAGTAAGGGCAGCCTGGGAAAATCTGAATGGCAGAGAGAGGAGGGAGACAGTGCAGAACCTAAGACTCATTTAAAAATCATCTCCAGAAAGAGAAAACCCAGCTTGCATGTGTGATAAAGAGTCCCGGTTAATCAAAGCACTTGCTCTAAGAAAGGGGCTTAAAAGGACTTGTGATTTGAGGTGGTGTTCATCAAAAGGCATCCATCCCCTCCAGGGAAGAAGCCAGTAAAAAGGAAGAGAGTGATGCCACCTGGAGACAGGGCAGTGAAGAGGAAAAGAAGCAAAGGGGGGAAATTTTAAGATCCTAAATCATCAAGCATCATCATCATAATTTGCTACAGCAAAACCCATCAATGAATGCTCAAAATAATGGATAAAAGTCTAATGAGTATGGGGATATTTAGAAGGACTCAAAATACTTCTCAACAAGATACTTAATAATTTTTTTAAAAACCAGTAAATTTACTAAAAAGAAACTTGGCAGATGAAAGATAAAATTGCTAGTAATGGACCAACTGATGTCAAATGCCTCCTGATACAATACACTGAGGAGGACACACCATCACTTCTGCAGTATTCTTGCAAAACATGCATAATCTGAGTCCAATTCTGAGGAAATATTAGACAAACCAAAATTGAAGGACATTCTAGCAAAAGCAAGAACAAAAATGGTTTGTATTCTTCAAAAATATCAATGTTGGGGGAATGAATAGAGGTTGATTAATGGGTACAAATATACAGTTTGATAGAAGAAATAAGACCTACTGTTTGACAAACAGTGGGGTGACTATAGTAATAGAAGTAATCTATTACTTATTTCAAAATAACTGGAAGATAAAAATTCAAATGTATCTACCATAAAGACAAATAGTGATTGATATCCCCATTGATTGATATCCCCAGTGATGATATCAAAAAGTGATTGATATCCCCATTACGCTGATTTGATCTTTTTAAATTATATGAATGTATTAATTTATCACATGTACCCTGAAAATATATGTATCTATTATATATCAATAAAAAACAAAATTCAAAAAAAGACAAAGACTGAGACACTGTCCCAGATTAAAGAAGACTAAATAGACATGACAAGTAAAGGAAATTCATGTAATAGAATTTTCTTATATTGCAAAGAACATTACTGAGACAACAGACTAAAGTAGAGTAAGGTCTGGAGATAGCTAACAGTATTGTACCAATGATAAATTCCTGACTTAGGTAACTGTACTGTACTTATGTAAAAGAATGTCCATGTTTTTAAGAAAATACAGCATGAAAGATTAAAGGGTAAAGGGGAACTATATTTTCAATTTATTCTCAAATGGTTAAGACTATTTACATACATATTTTAACCATTTGCATGCATACACACTTTCAGAGAATAATAAAGTATGGCAAAATATTCACATTTGGGTATGGGAATTGGGGCAAAGAATATATATGGGGATTCTTTGTGCTGAAATTATGCCCAAATAAAATGTTTTTTTAAAAAGCAGTTTATATGACAGAAATTTTCAAAGTAATTTCTATCATGTGAATTTTCTCATCAGGTAGATTGATAGTCTTGAGAATTAATGGGAAACAGCAGAGCATATAAGCTAGCCATGTTTTTGGTCTTCTGTGCCAGGTTGAGGGAAAAAAAGGAAATTAGGTAAGATTCTTTCCAGATATTGCTAGAAATTATTTTAAATATGCAGAATTTGGGCTCCTCACATTGTCCTTGTTATTTATGCAGACACTGGAATAGTACTAATAAAAGGGACCATATGATACCATACTACACTGATACAAAGAACTTCATAATTTCTGTGCAGATTTAGTTTTATTTCTCAGTATTCACTGCACAAATTTGGCAGTCTTCTATGTTTCAGTTTATTGGAATTAGCCTGTTTGAATTCTCTTTAAAGGTACGTTTCCCTTTTATTTATTTATTTTTTTTTGCTTCACATTATTAAAGCAATGCATCTCTCTCCTAAAATATTCTCAAAGAGAAATTATATCCTAATGTCATCTTTGGTTTTGTAAAATTTGCATTTTTAATGTATCTTAGAACATATAAAAATGTAAGTTCTTTCCACATAATATTGAGTCATTTATAATTTTAGCTACTTCGGGTAAATTAAAATACTATAATGAAATAAGGACTCAAGAAGTATTTCATTTAAACTTTTCAGAAAATATGGCAAGAGAGTAAATTCATTAAGGCCAGAATATGTCAAAAATTTGTACACTGAAAACTGTAACACATTGATGAAAGAAATGGAATAAAAAACAAATAAATGGAAAGATATCCTGTATTCATGTATTAGAAGATCTAATGTCAAAATAACTATACTACCCACAGCAATCTACAGATTCCATGCAATCCTCACCAATTTTTTTTTTTTTTTTTTTTGAGACAGGGTCTCACTCTGTTGCCTGGGCTAGAGTGCCGTGTCATCATCATAGCTCACTGTAACCTCCAACTTCTGGGCTCAAGCAATCCTCCTGCCTTAGCCTCCTGAGTTACTGGGACTACAGGCACCTGCTACCATACCAGACCCATTTTTCTATTTTTGGCAGAGATGAAGTCTCACTATGTTGCTCAGGCTGGTCTCAAGCTCCTGGCCTCTAGCAATCTTCCCACGTTGGCCTCCCAAAGTGCTAGGATTACAGGTGTGAGCCACTATGTGCTCAGCCCCTATCAAAATTTCAATGGCATTTTTCATAGAAATAGAAAAAACAACCCTAAAATTCATATGCAATCACAAAAGACCCAGAGGAGCTAAAGCAATCTTTAGCAAGAAGAACAAAGCTGGAAGTATCACACTTCCTGATTTTAAATTGTATTTCAAAGCTATAGTAATCCAAACAGTATGTTACTGGCATAAAAACAGACCTGTTAGCTAATGGAATAGAATAGAAAGTCCAAAAATAAACCCACATATAAATACAGTCAGCTAATCTTCAACAATTGCACCAAAAATACACAATGGGGAAAGAATAGTCCCTTCAATAAATGATGCTAGGAAAACTGGATATCTACATGCCAAAAAATGAAATTCGATCCCCATTTTATACCATAAACAAAAACTGACTCATAATCAACTCATAATGCATTAAAGACTTTAATGTAAAACCTGAAACCATAAAACTTCTAGAAGAAAGAATAAGGGCAAAACTATATGACATTAGTCTTGGCAATGATTTTTTTTTAATGTGACACAGGCAACAAAAGCAAAATAAGTAATAAGTGGGACTACCTCAAACTATTACTAAAAAGTCTCTGCACAGCAAAGGAAACAATCAACAAAATAAAAAGGCAACCTATGGGACAGTAGAAAATATTTACAACCCACATATATGACAAGGGGTTAATACCCAAAATGTATAAGGAACTCTTATGACTCAACAGCAAAAAACCAAATAACCAGATTTAAAAATGAGCAAAGGACCTGAATAGACATTTTTCCAAAGATGGCATAGAAATGGCCAACAGGTATATGAAAAATTGCTCAATATCACTAATCATCAGGACAATACAAATCAGAACCCACAATGAGATATCATCCAACACCTGTTAGGACGGCTCTTATCAAAAAGTTAAGAGATAAATGTTGATGAGGATGTGGAGTAAAGAGAACTCTTGAGCACTGTTGATGGAAATGCAAATTAGTGCAGCCATCATGGAAAACAGGATGGAGTTTCCTCAAATAGTTAAAATAGAACTACCATATGATCTAACGATCTCACTTCTGGGTATATGTCTGCAGGAAATGAAGTCACTACCCTGAAGAGATATGTGCATTCCCATGTTCATGGCAGCACTATTCACAATAACCAAAATATGAAATCAACCTAAGTCTCCATCAGCAGATGAATAAAGAACATATGGTCTGTGTGTGTGGGATTCTCTGAAAATACAGGCAAAAAATCAAGTGTTTTTCCCATTCTCTCACACAATAATAAGTACAGAACACTTCTGTGACCAAATGTGTGGGAAATTTTTCACCCACACACCAAAATACGAAGTGAATGATCCTCTGCTGAGTGTCCTCTAATTCCAATTCTGCCACTAATCACTTGGAGACGGAGCCAAATCCCACAGGTTGAGGGCACAGTCCCACAGACTGCCCCCACTTCAGACAACCATCACAAGTCCCAGATTGTATTACCTGTACCTCTGACCCACCAGCTATAAATTCAGATTTCCCAATCCCCTCCTCGGGTTCAATTAATTTGCTAGAGCAGCTCAAAAAACTTGGGGAAATGGGTCTTTTGGTTTATTGTAAAGGATATACAGACACAGATGAACAGGTAGAAGGAAGAGATGCATAGGGTGAGGTACATGGAAGGGGCATGGAGCTTCCACACCCTCCAGGAACCTTACCTGTTCAACTATCTGGAAGCCCTTGAGCCCAGTTCTTTTGGGTTTTTATGGAAGCTTCATTATGTAGGCATGATTGGTTAAATCATTGGCCATTAGTGATCAACTTAACCTTCACCCTTTCTCCCCTCCTCAGAGGATGGGGGCTGGGTCTGAAAGTCCCAAAAGCTCTAATCATGCCCTGGGCTTTCCTGTGACCAGCCCCAATACTGAAGCTACCTAGGGCTGCCACCAGTCATCTCATTAGCATATAAAAAGATACCACTTTGGAGATTTCAGGGATAAATACAGTCATGCCTGACTTAATGATGGAGATATATTCCAAGAAATGTGTCCTTATGTGATTTTTGTTGTTACATTACCATCACAGAGTACACTTCTACAAACCTGGATGGTATAGCCTACTACACACGTAGGATATATGTTGCACCCTATTGTTCTTAGGCTACAAACCTATACAGCATGTTACTATACTAGATACTATAGGCAACTGTAACACAATAGTAACTACTTGTGTATCTAAACACAGAAAAAGTACATTAAAAATAAAGTATCATAATCTTATAGGATCACTATCATATATGCGATCTATCATTGACTAAAACATCATTATGCCTCCGTGACCGTATGTATTTCACAATATCACAGATTTTACACACACACAAATATTATTCAGCCTTAAAAAATCAGGAAATCTTGGCATTGCAACAACATGGATTAATCTGGAAAACATTATCCTAATGAAATAAACCAAACAGAAATAAGCCAACAGAAAGATAAGCACTATGCAATATGACTTATATGTAAAATGTAATAAAGTCAAACTCATAGAAACAGTGAGTAGAAGTGTGGTTACCAAGGATTTAGGGCGTGGAGGTATTGTGAGATGTTGATCAAAAGGTACAAATTTTCAGTTCTACAATGAATAAGTTCTTGAGACCTAATATACAGCACAGTGACTATAGTTAATAATACTCGAAAATTTGCTAAGAGAGTAGAAGTATTCTTACCACAAACAAAGAGAATAGTAACTACATGATAATGTATATATTAAATTAACTTGACTGTGGTCATCATTCCACCAAGTATATATATGTCAAACATCACATTATATACCTTAGAAATATATAATTTTTGTTAATTACACATCAATAATGCTGAAAAGTAATAAATATCAGAACATAGCTATAGCACATCAAGTCCAATTACTCTGTATCTTGAAAGAATATTCCCAAAACTCCCACTTTGTCCTAAATTCCACGGCCTATTCTAGATTTTTATACTAGTACTGACATTCAACTGGTTCATACCAAAACAACTATACCAGTTATTTACAACTTATGTCTATTCTGATTTATTGGTTTCTGTTATTATCAATACCATCCCAACCTGTGCCATTTATACTACACATATACATAATAATGCTTTATAACACAAAAGGAAAAAGCAGAGATATTCAATTAAAGGAGTGAAATTGAGATCTATTAGATAGAAAAAAAAGTTAACATCATAGAAAACATCTATAATGGGGTAAAATATGTGTATACTAACAACAACAAAAAAAGGTAAAGTATCTTATTGCCCAATGAGTGTGTGTGTGTGTGTGTATATATATATATCTATATAGATATATATAGATATATATATATATAGAGAGAGAGAGAGAGAGAATCTCATATAGCAATTAGATTTTAAAATCAGTGGATAAGGCAGAAATTGTTTATTGTCTAAAAAAACTATTGAAAGTCCTTTAAATCTCCCATAAATTAGAGTGTATAAAATCTTCAGATCCATAACTATATTTTAATTTTTATAAATACTAAAATTTGAGAATCACTGAGCTAGAGAAAAGAACAAAAGGTAAATAGATGCTGACACACTCAAACCATGTGCTTTTATCAGATTTAAGTCACAGGTCTCTATCAGGTCTCTATCAGGGAATGGGTGGAAAATCCTAAAACGCTCCGGCTTCCTCGTAACATGGTTCTATTCTGTTCTCATGTTAAAGCTTTATAACCTTAGTACATATTAATCGATGTGTTGTAAGGATTCAACAAGTAATTTATGTGACAGTATCCTATGAAGCTGGGACCAAGCATTTGCTTGTTACCCTTTTCTGGATTTGAATACAAATATTGCTTACTCAGGTCATACACACATTTTTTTGAAAAAATATAGAGAAAATATTGGTTGCACAGTTGTCATTTCCCACGCTGGCCCCACTGAAGAGCTCTCACACCCCTCTTATCTGGCAGTGTCTCAAGACCCCTCTCTGCTGGTGCTTCCTGGTAGGGTAAGGTGTGTTGCATTCTGAAGTTAGGACCTAAGTTAAATGCTCATATAATGAGACTCCACAGCTGCAGCCCCTGTGCTGCTCTTAGGCTGACATTTTCAAAAGAACACAACAATGCTGAACATACTTCTCACATGCTCAGGTTCTGGAGAGAGGTACCGATCCCTCTTGTGACGTCAGTCATGCCTCACCTGATCGATCACCATACAGTTAGCATAGACTTCATCCCCTCCATTCAGCATGTCAGAAAGCCGGCCTGTAGCAAGCAACGTTGGCGGATGCTTGGATTTTTTGAGGACATCAAAGGAGCGATCTAGAAGAAAAACAGAAACAGGATAAATAAAGTTGAAGGGATTCATTCCACAGGCAAGCTTTACCTTCTTAGTCAAACCACACGAAAAAAATCAAGAGCGCATTTTTTAAGGTGGCATTTTGCTGTCTTCACGTTTTAAGATCCACATGCAAGCATTTTCTCTTCTATATCCAAATCTTCTCAGTTGCTTACAACCTTCATGTAGAATGAATAATTGTAGAGAGATAAATATTTGCCCACTTCACGCACCATTTTCCCCATCCTTAGAGGTCTTTGTAAAATCAATTAGATATTTCCCTTCAATCTCTAACAGATTAAATTCAACTTCATTTCCCTTTATTAATAACTTGGGAGCATTAGTGATTGAACTCTGGTTCCACTGACGTGATCAGACTCAATGACCCTTTACGAAAGGACCGGAGAGTACAAAGCCCAGCAGTTCTGGCTCTATACTGCCTGCTGAACATGCAGAATCTTACACAGAGAGTTGCCTATTTGAATTACAGAAATGTTTCTGCTTGCTCCCATATTCTCAGCTTTGTTCCACATAGACGAAGTTGCTCAAAGTTGAGTCACAGAGAGTCAACATGTCACTGTATTTGTAGGGAAGGAAGAGTGGATGGTAACAAAACATAGGCCATAGAATGCCTTGATTCTTACCATTATGCTTTCCTCCTCATGTGGTTATGAGGATTACATGAATTCAGACATGTAAGCACTCGACACATGCCTGGAACTATGTGCTCAATAATATTTGTTATTATTATTATGAATAGTGATTTTTAACCAGGTTCAGTGTGAGGTACAGGTTATGAAGACCAGTCATAGTGTGTTATAATAGATTATCAATAACCATAAATGACTTTGAACAGGGTAGATTCTATGTTACATCCATAGCAAATGCCATCCTTACTTACATTTCAGTAAGTTTTCTCCAGTAGGTACAAAGGAGATGGTGTTTGCCACTATTCTGTGAGAAATTGCACATGTCCCACTGCCTATCTTATCTATGCCAAAGCATAAAATCTGGGAGTGATTTTAGGAAATGAAACAAGATTAATAACTGTTGGGCTGATGTACCATGAGCAAAAAGTTTTATTCTTTCTTAGAAAGTCCTAGATCTGTGGTCCCCAACCCATTACCAGTCCATAGCCTGATAGGAAACAGGCCTCACATTGCCACCTGAGCTCCACAAACCCCCCCCACCAGGAGACCCCAACCCCTCCTCCCCAGTCCGTGGAAAAATAGTCTTCCATGAAACCAGCCCCTGGTGCCAAAAAGGTTGAGGACTGCTGTCTTAGATGACATTATGAAAGGTCCAAAGATGTATGAATTATACAAGCCAAATAGCTCTGGTTTCAGAGATTGTATTTAAACCCACCTCTTCTTACCCACAGAACACTCAAGTGAGATTTTATTAAGCTTCCAGAGGAAATATACAATGTAAAAGGAAAACATTTTCTTCTTATATCCTTGATGTATCATTTTATCAACTTATTTAAATAGCTAGCAATATAATAGACAAAGCCAACAAATATTTCATAAGGATAACCTTTATGATCAATTACTATACAATTTTCATCTAATTACACAAAAGAAAAGCAAGGTTCCAAAGGTTATAAATTAAGAACCTGACAAAACACTTTCAATGAGCTCTGAAGAAAATACTTGTTCACTTGTCATTTTACATAATGTTTTAAAAACAATCATAAATAACTCAACATGGTCCTCTGAAGTGTAATTAATCCAGCTTAACTGCTCTTCAGGGTCCCAGATTCACAGACTATAAAACACCTGGCATTTCTGCCACCACATTTGGGAGGCCGTTCATATTCCTTTTTAATCACTGCCAAATTAAAACTGCATTGATAATTAGACTAAGAACTAACAAGCTATTCAGCAAGACAACTGCAAACAACTGATGGATTTCATTTTAAAAAACAGAATCAAGTGAAATATTACCCCAATTGCGTGGTGCCAGTGAAAGTACTGCCCGGTCATCAACAGCCACGTTCTTAACTACCAAAAGAGAAATCTGTTTGAGACTGACCATTTGCTGCAAGGATGGGCAGGACCAGAAACTACTGCTATCTTCCTATACACAGTTATTAATAAAAGGCACTTAGATTCAGCTTTCACAAATAACCATGCCTGGCCCTATGTGCAGGTCCAATTCTATATTGAGATCACATCCAAGCAGCAAAATAAACTGAAACATGGCCAAGTCTGGTTATTTCATCCAAGCTGGGGGCTAACTTGTTTTCTGCACGATTAATTTGATTAAGGTTTTAGAAAATATTGTAATTTGGTTACAATGACAGGTCCACAATCTGTTAGCTGCAATTCTAAATATAGAAAGCTCTGACAATCAAACTTTTTTCCATAGGTTTTGGCTTAAAAATATATTTGGTTGCAAAATCTGACTTGAGCCAACATTGGACCACGTAGTCTTTTTTTTGTTTTTTTACCGCACTTGGTGTGACTGTTCATATATTTTGTTGCAGAAATATTAACGTGCCTCATGATGACATTGTTTCAGTGCCTCCTATAGGAGTCATATCATACCCAGTATTAAGTACAACGCCAAAATGATCTGAAAATTCTGAATTCCATACCAAATCTTGTCCCAAGAGTTTCAAAGAAGAGACGGTAGATCTCTACAAAATTACCCATATCAGATATTAGACCAACACTTCCCAAGCTTTTGTCACTCCTCTCCCGAATTCACTATTTTGTCCTATCTACATATCATCTATATTATTTTCTTTATTTATATTTCATCTATATTTATATTCAGATTGACTGACTTTTTTTCTTTGAAAAATATTTTTATTTAAGAAATACTTTTAATTTTTTTTATTGGTTTTCCCCTTTCTCTTTCTTTATCCTATTTTCCTATTTCCCTCCCCTCTTTTTCCCATCTGTGTGTGTCTCTGGCTTTCCTGTTTCACTGTGTTCTGCCTCTGCTCTTTATGGGTACCCTTGTGAATCCCAGAAATTCTAACACTCATGCCAGATGGGGAGACCACTTAATTCTTGAAATGACAATGGGCAATTTCAGCAGATACATATACACGTTTTATAAAATGATGGTGACATAGGACCTTGAAAAGTCCACCTTAAAATTCATCACAAGTCCACTGGTCTGGATCACAGAAAGGACTTTGTAGAATCAGTAGAATGAAGGCTAAGTCCTACTATTTCCTCTGCAGTGTAAGCTCTGACAACCTGAAAACTCAGAGCCCATTTTATGTGCCATTACACAGCAACTGAGTCCTGCATTGTGTTAGAGGCCATGGGAAATAATTGGGATTCAAGATGTGTTTCATGGGACACCTTTAGAAAATCATCATATACATTCAATCCCCTCATTTTACAGTTTAAAAAACTGGGATGCACAAAGCTGTGATTTGCTCAAAGTTTTATGATCAAGTGACCATTTAGATCCACCCCATTGCAGAAAGGTGTGGAGAAAAGAACAAAAGGGAGAGGAAGGAAAGGGGAAGGAGTCATTACTGCTAACATAGGAGGATTTTGTACACTTCCCCAAGTTGGGGGGGAAGTAGAGAAAGTATTTCTCATCTAAAAGAGTATGGGGCCAAGAAAATGTTTCCTGTTTGCCCTTTGATGGTTTGCTGAAAACCAGCTGCCAAAAGGCAGATTAATAGGAGAAAAGACATACAAACTTTTATTTTAATGTGCATAGCACAGGGGAATCACAGGACAATGATTATCCCAGAAATACTTTTAATATTAAGAATTACCTTATTCCCATTGTACATAGAAAGCCATATTCCCAACCTTAAAATTTGTACCCCCATAATATGCCAAAATAAAAAAAAAAGTAGAAGGAAACTATACATACTAAAACAATGAAATTAAATTCTGACTAAATACAGTTGCCTATCAAAGCTGAGACTCTGAGAGGCCTGCGCTCTCTTTGTTATAAAGGGAGATTCTGAGGGATTCAAGAAGTATTAAAATGCAGGGCACCACACCAAGACTCTCCTTCGATCAACAGAAAGATCAAAAGAAAAGTGAAAAGGAAATATTTGCCTGACTCTATTATTCATTGTCCTCTAGTGTTACGTTGGCCAGCTCCAAGATGGACTGTTCCCAAAGGAATCCACCCCACACTCTGGAAAAGCGGCCTCGCCGTGTGTCACAATCCTGCCATCCAGGTAATGACTTCACTGAGACCGAAAGCCATGCAGCACACGACTGCAAGAGCGTGACACAGCAGTGAAGGGGAAAAATCTCTGTCTCCTCTCTAGTTCTGTCACCCAGAACTGGCCATGTAAACTTAGCAGGTCACTTGCTGCTACTATTTATAAAATTGGCACAGAAGTCCTTTTGAGCATTTCTCTGGAGCATCCATAGCATCCACTTGTCAAAGGACACCTCAAGATGATAGGATCTAGAAGCACACACAGACTGACAAACCAGAAAACGACACAGATAAACAGGACTCTCACTCCTTTATTAACTTCAACACTGGTCACTGCAAATAATGGGCTTCAAACCAGCAGACTAGGACTGATTGGGAAAAGAAAATAGGCCTTAAAGAGTACATTCAGGCCGGGCGCGGTGGCTCACGCCTGTAATCCTAGCTCTCTGGGAGGCCGAGGCGGGCGGATTGCTCGAGGTCAGGAGTTCGAAACCAGCCTGAGCAAGAGCGAGACCCTGTCTCTACTATAAATAGAAAGAAACTAATTGGCCAACTAATATATATAGAAAAAATTAGCCGGGCACGGTGGCTCATGCCTGTAGTCCCAGCTACTCGGGAGGCTGAGGCAGAAGGATTGCTTGAGCCCAGGAGTTTGAGGTTGCTGTGAGCTAGGCTGACGCCACAGCACTCACTCTAGCCTAGGCAACAAAGCGAGACTCTGTCTCAAAAAAAAAAAAAAAAAAAGAGTACATTCAAATAAACAGCAGCTACATATATTAAAGTGGCTAATTGCTCTACTGAGTTTCAGCCATTCAAAGAAAAAGCTCCAATG